GATGGTGATGCTGAGTCTGATGGTAAGCCATCTATGTTTGAAGATTCAGGGCCTTGATCAAAATATATAGTCTTACCTATGGAGCAATGGTCTATTCAAGACCGCATAACTACGACATTGTAGTATACATTGTACTGCGACATGGCTCGAGGTTCCTTCCAAGTTTCCTGTCGATACTTCGTATTCCAAGGTTGATTAAGTTCATTAAGCATGCACGCAGGCTCGCGTGATATGCTTTGGGCGCAGTTCTATATCACTCGCTTGATATTCGCAAAACTACATGGTAGTATAATGTATGTACTTCCAAGGTTGAAAAATGCGAGGTGCACAACTAATGGGACTGGTTGACTCCAAATAATTTTAAACCCATCATACCCCGGATCCTACTTGGCGGAATAGGCCAAATTCCCGAATTCCTCCCGTCTTCTTGCCCAACATCCGTGATGGATCTGACGATCTATGGCTCGAACAGGAAATTCCCGGCATGCCACACACAGAAATCTAGAACTATTGTTTTATGGCCTCCGATATCTGGAGAAAGACCATGTGAAGTAATAATCTTCTCCCAAGAACCCCGCACCTAGTCCCATGCCCCGACAGGGATTCTTAATGGACGGAATAGCCAACCCAACCCGCGTTCGTATTGGATGGAAGAACCCGGAAGAAAGTGTGTGGGTGTGTCAGGTAAAAATTCAAAATGTCTAGAATCTGTCAAGTGTCGGTCTGGCTGTGTTTAAAATGTCTGGAGAGTATGAGACCCCATTGAATGAAGAGTCTCTCTGTCTTTCCATTTCCCATGTGTTCTAACAGAGAACCTGATCTTATTCCCAACCTTTCAAATTCTTACCTCTTTAAAGACCATACTGGAGAGAATAACTCCACTAGCAAAACGCTGGCATCATTTACCTGACCCCGTCGTGGTCGCCTGACACCCTTGAATACCTTTTCATCACACATAAACATCACACTCGCCTTCACCGACTTTCTGATTGGAATCCTTCAAAAATGGTAGCCCTGTGGATATTCGTGGCTCTTGGTTACTTGTTGCTGTATGCGTTCGCTGCGATGCAAACGCAGGAATGGGGTGTTCCCATCAACTGCATTGCCAACTGAGCTCTTTGCCATGGTGTGATACCTAGGCGAGCTGGGAGACAAATGGCTGCCTTGGTCTAATTGTTCCCTTATGAACAATTCGTTTCATGCTCGGCTGTGAACTGGGTTGGGCAGTTCTTTTGAGAGGGTCGAATGACCAATCACGATTCATGATCTATGACTATTCTTACGACTTATCATTTTGATGAACTGAGAGGTGACGAGATATGACGGCTGGGGTACCTTAAGGCCCAGGAGGCCTAGACAAATAACCCATTCATGTACAGGGTAAACCCTTCTATGGGTTCCATACATGATGTTCAACATGTGAGACTGCGAAGGGGCACTAGAGTCTTTGATGATTATTGATGATGACGACTGAATGACTTTGATGAAGGTGTTTGATACCATGGAAGACGAGACTACAATTCTGTACTTTGTTTAAAAGACTTGAGATTCACATTTTTTTAGTACTTTTTGCGTTCGATCAAGCCTTTTGTCAAGAAAGAAACACCCCCAATTGAAAGCAATTCCATATCCATGTCCATCCATATCGAGGTGTTCGATGACAGGAATAGAGAGGGGCGTGATTTGCCCATGTCCCTGCAGCTTATGTGTTTCTGCTGCATACTGGAGATAATGTGATAGATATCCACATTGGATTTGGACGTGTGAAGAGGGGCAATCCCGTCTTGTTCCCTTGAGATGATCCTTCCACATGGTAGGGCCGCATGAAATGCATGTGTCACATTAAATTATTCCTCGCCATATCATCTTGATGAATCTTTTTGGGAAATTGGGAAATTCGCAGCAGAAAAGGCTCTGCTATGACATGTGTTTTCTTCAGAACCAGATCTTGATCAGTTCCTCACTGACAGCACTGGGCGTCAAGACACCGCTATCGGTGATCAGTGCAGAGATCAGGTGAGGGGGAGTGAAATCAACCGAGTCACAGAGGGGTAGCTTGATTGGGGTGTCTCCGTTTGTGTCAGCAACGGAGGACTGCTGCTTGCGCTCCTCTGCAAGGTCCTCCTCGGACTTGAACTCAAGAACTTGTTGATCAATTGGTAGGTCGTACTGACCAAGAGGGTACAAGCGAACGAACTTGTGACTCTCTGCTACCACGTAGAATGGCTTCCCAATAGCTTTGGCGAGAAGACCGATTTGGTAGGTTCCCATGCGAGACACAATGCCTCCATTCTCCACCACACCCTCCGCACCCACGATAACCATATCAGCCTTGCCGAGAGAATATGCCACTGCGGACTCGGGAATTGTTGAAACTGGTACACCCTTTGCTCTCAGAGCACGGACTGTTTCCATACCCTCCGGTTCTTCATTCGGGTGCTTGCAATCCCGGGAAGTCGAAGACAGAACGTAGATAACACGGAACCGCACAGCAGAAGGGCCACCCTCCTCATCTGCAGCTTTTTGCAACAGCGCTGCGACAGCTCGGGAGCCACCGTTTGTGAGGATGGTGCTGCCATCGCGAATGAAGCCACGGCCGAATGCTGCGATTTTGTCTCGGCTTTCCTTGGCGCGTCGGATAAACAGCCGTCCATTCGACAATAGATGTGTGCGGATGGCCTTGAAATCGCCCGCGGGGCCCAGTTGTCCAGGGCGCTGTAGTGTGGTAATCAGGTATCGTTGGAAAAGATCGGTTCCGGCAGAAAGACCGATAGGGTTGGAAATGGATCGTTTTAGGTGAGCGGTGGATTTTTCGAGTAGATCCAAGGTCTCTGATATTGTTGAAGAGGCTGACTGTGTGAGAAGAAGGACCAGAGCTTCAATGGCCGCGATAGGCATGGTAAGGTCGGCATCGGAGCGGAGGAGCTCATTGTAGGTTGCGACAATGCTGAAGGAACGGTGAGCAGATGCGAGGACTTCGACGGAGCGCATTTTACTTACTCGAATGGTTTAGTATCGGCCACAGCCGCATCTAAAGTGGTAGAAGCCATGCTTTTTTGAGCGTTGAAGGTGTGAGATTGAGAACAAAGCAATGTAGGAAGAGAAAGAGTCATTAATTCTATGTTTGCCTGGTTTGCATAATGCCCCTCCAGGCACTAACCCCGATCGGGCGGTGTGCGGGATTGTCTCCAAGTAAACAATCAACCCCGATCAACAACAATTAGCCTACCCACTTTGTCAATAAGCCCCTTGCCTGGTGACAGGTTCCCAAACTATCATGTCGCGCAACTCTACTGCGATGGGGTATAATAGCCGTATGAGCCAGCAATTCCAAGGCAACCAGCAGCACGGTCGAGGTCGCAAGAAGGAGGACGAGAATGACGCCCTTATGCGTCTGGTGAGCTTGATTTTTGCCGGAGCTTGCGTCTGATACTAATATAAAATAGCCCGACAAAGAGATCGCAGGATGCATCAACGATATCGGTATACCGTTTACTCTCGCCGACCTGGCTAAACCAAACGCCCAGCAAATCCAGATGGTGTTCGAATGGTTCGCAGAACTGCTCATGAACACGACCCGGGAGACTGTGGAGCCCGCGATGCATGCAGCTGCAGAAGATCTATGCGGCGACTACCCTGATATAGTTCCCAATGACACCCGCAACCTCATGGGTTTCTTCATGATGCTCCGGAAGCTATTGGCGGAGGTATTTACTCATCACTCGCCACAAAAACCCTGAAGAGTATGCTAATGCCTCTGGTACCAAATAGTGCGGTGTCAACGACTTCACCTTCACCGACCTGACCAAACCGACGCATGAGCGACTCGTCAAAATATTCTCGTACTTGATCAACTTTGTTCGATTCCGCGAATCGCAGACACCTGTGATCGACGAGCACTTCAACAAGACAGAGAAAACGAAATCGCGCATTGATGAACTTCTTGCGGAAAACCAGGAGATGGAATTAAGGCTGAGGGAGATGCGACAAGATCTCCAATCCAACGAAGCACATGTGAGGGAGAAAGTTTCCCGAAACGATGCGCTCAAGGCGCGACTATTGGAACTGGGTCGAGAGCAGTCGCGAGTCGCAGAAACACTTGATCGAGTTAAAACGGAAAGAGCTCGGCGGCAGCAGCAGTTGGAAGAGAAGACCGAACGAACGGTCCGCTCTCGACAAGAAGCGGAGAAACTGCGACCTTATGTGCTCGAGTCTCCGGCTACCCTCCAGTCTTCACTGGCTGAACTATCCGAAAATCTGATGCGCGAAAAAGCCTCCATTGATGCGATGGAGAGACGGGCACGTGCACTGCAGACCTCATCGGATACGTTCACCGTGGTTTCCAACGATGTGCAGGGATGTGTCAAATTGCTCGATGACATTGCAGCTGAAATGCAAAAAGAGGACGAAGAGGAGTCTCGTGCTGCTAGAACTACAGAGGCTATCTCGGACAGGGGGAACAGCGTCCGCGAGGTCGAGCAGACCGAGAAGCTCTTGCAGCGTCAACTGGCCCGTTGGGTCGAGCGTATCGAGGCACTCCAGAAAAATGCACAGGAGAAAGCCGAACTTGCGCAGGCACGCATGGAAGAACTCCGCAATGTTCAAAAACAACTCCGCGAGGAACGTGCGGAGAAGCAACGCGATATGGAGCGGAGACGTATTCGCATTGAACAGACAGAGAAGAAGGTATGTTTTACCCTGTGTCATAAGGGATGAACCATTGCTAACGCACTCTTCCAGATGGTTGACTTGAAGGAGAACATTGAAACCGAGATTCAGTCAGCCCACGACCAGTACCTAAAGCTAGAGTCACATATCAAGCTGTACATGACAGAGATGGAGAAGTCTCTATGATCAATCAGTTGTCATTTATGTGCGAAACAGGAGTTCAGCGGTCAGCTATAGGATACCCGGACAGTACAAATTCATTCCCAGGAGTTTTATTATGTTACAATATCATGTCTGATTTCAGTATTAAGCGTGTTCCAGTCTTTCCCAGTTCAATGGTTCTGGTCAAATTCAAACCAGCGTTCGGCTACCCGTTTCACAGTGACGCCCCGTCCACCCAAGGTACTTTGGTCCGATCGCATTCGAACTGACCCATTCAGTAAGGGAACATTCACATCCCATAGCTTTCTTCCCCGAACGACACTCGAAGGGTCCAGGGCATTCATGCACTCATAAAGTCGGAGATCCATCCCCGCCCTTGAGGAAGCCTCAACGACAGAAGCAAGTGTCCTTGAAAGCCCCTGCGCCGAGAATTCTGAAGTTGTAACATGTAAAGCCATCATATCAAGCACAGCAAGGAGTTGTCGGTCATGGGAAAGCGATGTGTCCTCGGTAGCCACCCCAACAGCAGGACCTAAAATGGCAAGGTATGCCCGAAGACTCTCTAAACTCGGGCAGAATGCCAGCCGTATTTTGCTGGATCTTGCAAGCAGCCCGATAGTTTTTGTAAGCAAGTCATGGCTCGTGGCAGTGTCTGGATCAGCGCGTTGTGAGCGAATGGCTGCTGTGAGTTGCACCAGGAACTCAGCTCTGGTTGCACAGACAATGAGATGAGTATCTGAATTGCCTTGAAGTAGTTGCTGCAGGAGATCAGGCACCAAATCGCAGTGAGCGATCGTGCATGTTGGATCCATTGCGTCAGGTAGCTGTGTTGTAGCTCCCACTTATTGCCCCTCCGAGATCATCAGCAAGAAACGAATCATTTTGTCTTCAACTCATAATCCGTCAACCACAAAAGCCCATGGTGGTCGTAGATCTTGAGTCAAAGGGGGTGTAAATAGTAGAATGTTGCAGACGTTGCAGATCGAAGGCGGGCGAAGTGTCGCGGCATCATCCACTTTACTTCCGCGGAGCTGCTCCGCCTTTCCTCCCCTCACCTCTCACCCATTTCCTTCGACTCACCCAAAATGGAAACAATTTCTAGGATATCCTCGATGCTAGAAACAGGTATGTCGGGTCGGGTTGCAATCCGCTCTTTTGGCCTGAACTGACTGTGGAATGTCACTGTGCGCATAGCTCGAGAGCTCACATTAGAGGCTGCCCAGTCCGCTACTATCAATCGTACCTCAAGCACCGACTATACTTCGCGAACATACAGCCCTGAGCATATCAAGAAGCTCCTTGACAGTCGCCATGAGCGGGAAGTCCTGGATGGAATGCGGAGGGTCATCTCGGTACGGGGACCGTGAACAAGAACTATGGAAAATGCAATGGCTAACTTAATTTGTTGTTATAGTTGATGTACCGGTCCGAACCCTCCCTTACTTTCTTTTCGGCAGTTGTCAAGAATGTTGCCAGCGCCAACCTCGAAGTCAAGAAATTGGTTTACATCTACTTGGTCCATCATGCGGAGGCGGAGCCGGATCTGGCACTACTGTCCATCAACGCGATCCAGAAATCGCTGACCGATTCAAGCCCACAGGTTCGAACAATGGCGCTTCGGACTATGTCCGGAATCCGGGTTCCGGTGATCAGCCAAATTGTGTCCCTGGCCATCAAGAGAGGATGTGGGGATATGAGTCCACACGTGCGCAAGGCGGCCGCTTTGGCTATTCCAAAATGTTATCGTCTAGACCCCAACACGCTGCCACAGCTGATGGGGTATCTTGAGATACTTTTGGGTGATTCTCAATACTTCGTCGTTGGCCCCGCAGTCGCGGCATTCTTGGATCTGTGTCCGGATGAGATTGACCTAATCCACAAGAACTATCGCAGCTTAGTCAAGAAGCTGGTTGATATGGACGAATGGGGTCAGCTAGCAACATTGCGACTGTTGACATTTTATGCACGAAGATGTTTCCCTCAACGAACTCAGAAGGTTAAGCGCACAGCCCCGGAGGCATTCTATGACGATGAAAAGCAGCAACAGGAGAACCAGAATGATGTTGAAGAGTACGAAGTTCCGGTAATGGACCCTGATCTTGAGCTTCTACTCCGAGCCTGCAAGGTTCTACTGCAGAGCCGAAACTCTGCCGTCATTGTCAGCGTTGTCCGTTGCTTCCTTTACCTTGCTCCATCAGAATATATTGTGTCAGCAGTTGGCCCCCTTGTGGCTCTTTTACGAACCCCGCAGGATATGCAACTCATCGCTCTGTACAACATTGTTGCTGTTGCTCTAAGGGTTCCAAAGCCTTTCGCCAAATATACTGCCCATTTCCTTGTCCACGCTAACGACCCGCCACATATCTGGCGCCTCAAACTGGAGGTGCTAACCATCCTGTTCCCGCATTGCGGAAAACACTGGAAGGGGGTCATCATCAGCGAACTAGAGCACTTCTCTAAAGGTGCAGATCCTGAGCTGGTACGGGAGAGTGTACGAGCCATTGGGCGTTGTGCGCAAGGGGACACAAGTACCGCAGGCATGTGCCTACGGATTCTTCTCGGCCAGATATCTAGTTCAGACGGAAACCTCGTGTCAGAGTCACTGACTGTCATTCGTCACTTGATACAACAAGATCCAGCCTCACATAAAAATACTGTTCTCCAGCTCGTCAAGCACCTAGGTTCAACAACCCACCCAGACGCACGAGCCACCATTATCTGGCTGGTTGGCGAGTTCGCTGGAATTGACCCAGAGAACAATATTGCGCCTGATGTCCTCCGTATCTTGATCAAAGGATTCGCAGACGAGATGGAAATTGTCAAACAACAGACTGTTCTTCTCGGTGCTAAGGTGTATTTACACCATCTCCTGCAGAATCCACCAGAGGAACAGCCGGAACAACTTCCACCGCTATCATTCCCCAAAGTCCCCGCCAAATCCCAGCAAGAGTTCCACAACGAATGGACTGACAATGGGAACGAGGAACCGCAAGATGCCGAGCGAACTGACCAGGGAGAGGAGAACCGTCAAGAAAATGACGGCGCTGAAGCGAAGGAAACAGAAGAAGCGACCGAGGACCGTATTACGTTATTATGGCGGTATGTCCTCCTACTCGCACGCTACGACACTTCCTACGACCTACGTGATCGGGCACGTCTATACAAGAGCCTCTTGGAAACGCCGTCTTCCACCCAACTTGCCAATCTCCTTCTCCTGGCACCAAAACCAGTACCCCACGCCCCCAGCCCATCCGAGACGCGCAAGGACCTGCTCATCGGCTCCGCCACTCTTGTCGTTGGCCCCGACGCTGGTTACCACGGACTCCGAGGCTACACGAATCTCCCGGACTGGGTTGAGTCAGGCCAAGAACCCGATCCCAAGCTCCGCACCGAAGATGTGAAACCAGACACATCGGGCAACACCACCTCCATGACTGCAGGTGACCGCCTTGATAAAGCACTTCGTGAACACCAACCCACATCTGTTTCAAGCCGGAACCGGAACGGTCCGGCTTTGCCTTTGGACCCGGCTGGGAAGAAGACTCTTGATCAGTGGCTACAAGAAGAGGAAGAGGAAACCGAGACAGAGTCTGAAACGGACTCTGAGGAAGGAGAAACTGATTCGGAGGAAGAGGAGACGGACTCGGAAGAAGAGTCTGGCTCGGAGGAGGAAGATGATGGCTCCGAAGAAGAGACTGATTCTGAAACCGAAGCTGTTCATAAAGAGGCACAGAAGTTGCTTCGTTAAACTTGTTCGAATGATAGCCACATGTATAGATGCTGGCTTGATTGGACAACCTTTTGGGTATATTTAAAATTCGAGAAAACAAATTTGAATGATGTTTCTGGAGTAATTTTGATACATGGCATAGTTCACTTAGAGGGTTATTGAACAGACTTGGTCCCATGGTGCTTACATAGGGCAACCGCACTTCCCCGGTTTCTGTAGAAGCCTGGACCGCCTGTCTTCTCTTTCACTTTCACTCTTTTGTCTCTTGCAACCATCTGCCTACTCCGCCCATATCTACTCTGATCATTTATCATTGGCAGCTTCATCCCCTCATATTCTCACAATCTTAGCGTCAAGCTGCCATGCCTCCTCATCCACGCCCAGATTTCATCAAGGGCCTGTCGACGTGCCCAGCAAACAGGCTGCACAAACCAGCATATCTCCTGGACTTAAACAGATATTCGGGAGCGAGCCTTTGGCATTTACCTGACATGTGCCTACCGCGTTTGCATAGATAGCTCGCGTGAAACAGCCAATTCCCCAATGAATCCCAGGGGCTGATAAGTAGATTTTACTGGACAGAAAGACCATGCTTTGAAGATTTACTTCAAAAAGCTGTATGACCTTCTTGAAGAAGCAACGCAGATCATCGGTAAACTATATAAGGTCAGCTTGACATGCCAGTTCGACCCATGCCACTTTCAGATCCGGTGACACCACCCACATAAAGGAGAGATCATTTGCTGACGAGACATCCAGTCATTATCCCAAGTTTGACGTGCTCTCAGCTTATACAACACTTGAAGCCAAACGACTCCCAGGAGACGTCTGTTGGCCATACGAAACTGAATCTCCCCAGATGGTCGAGCATCAGGTTCGCCGAAAGTTTTGGAGGGTCGTTAGTGGAGCTCCATGCCAATGCTTTAGGTCAGTCATGCATAAATCGTTAGGAGAGAACTGCCTGCCATAAAGGTGCTTTTTAAGGAAGATTTGCCGGTATGGGCTACTGGTTGCTCCATCTGCGATAATTCCTTGCTTTTGCTAACAAACGCTGCTATGAGGTCGCTGCGGTCATCTTGGGCGACTTGAGCGTGACTAAGCTCCTCATGAGCACTGTGAGCCCTCTTCCATCGTGGAATGCTAGCTAGACCTCTCACATATTTTGTTGAGAAGCAGAGAGCCGCGTTGTACATTATGCATTATGCCGTTGGGTCCAGTACCAATACAAACAGCCCAGAATCAATTAGGGCTGCCTGACCTAGCCTGGCCTGGATATGCAGGCTACCATAGAATATCAGAGGCAATCTCCGTTGACCGCCATGATCCTTTACCCGTGTCTCATATCCCATCTGCCAAATATATTTCACTTTGATGCCACAGTTTCAATATCAGAGGTCGTGCACAATATCCCACTCCTGGTTGCTAACTTACATTCCTACCCCTTTGCATCTGTCGGATTGCTTTAGCGACGGGAGTCCAGCTCCTGACCAATCATCCAGCGTAATTGCAAGCGATGTCCGCTCCGGGCATCAAGCTCGAACGAGCGCGTTGAGATGGTCCTACCACAAGGCACTTTAGCGATGGGCAGCGCTAGATTGTTACCCAGACAGGTTGAGGTTGATGAATTTCACTCCCTTGCTGATCATAGAACCAGCAAGCTATAGTATATAGTCATCTGTATACCAACTTGCCGTGGTTCTATAATTGCGCAGCGAGTGCGGTGCATCAACCTCGACTTATCTAGGCAAAGAAAGAGTCTTCCGTTAACAACGCAGGGAGAATAATCAGAACGCCAAGCAGCGGCTATCTAAGTAGTGAGCTTGATTGTCGGAGCCAATTGCTTCATGTTATCCTTGGCCTCTGCTGATTTTAACTGGTTGGATCGGCTAGATCAGCCAACTCCAATGCGGGGGAAGTAAATAACAAAGAATGCAATGAGTTTAGCCCAGAACCAGTTAATATTAAAACAGCCAAGCCGGAACGTGGGTTCTATACAAAGATCCGGTCTCCCCGGACTCCCCGGACTGCTAGTAAGCTGAGATCTGTGCTCTCATTACTTTTTCCTGCACTGCTACCATACCTACCTGAGGGATACGGTTGCCTAGTCGGATATGTATGGCTTTCGTACAAAATTTTGTCAAATAAACCAACATGGATATGTCGCGAGTTATCAAACCCTGGAAGCTCAACCCTCAAAGAAACTTGGTCTTTGTGAATGCAACCATTGTTGACCCAGCCGAGGGCAAATTGTTCCCAAATACTACAGTCCGAATCTCAGAAGACAAGATCATTCAAATCTTCACAGACGGTTCAATTACCGCCACAGATAATCTCCAAGAAGAAAATGTGATCGACCTGAGCGGAAAATACTTGTGTCCGGGTTTGATCGACTGCCATGTCCACGTCGCAGTAGTTCCCGGCGAAGCCGATCTACGAGCCTACAAAGACATGACCGAGCAAATTAGTCTTCTGCGGCAGCCATACGTGCTCAAATCCATGCTAGACCGCGGCTTCACCTCAATCCGCGACTGTGGCGGCGCAAGTCTCGCGATCAAGGAAGCCGTCGAGGAAGGTGTGATCCCAGGCCCTCGTCTCTTCATCGCTGGACATGCACTCTCCCAAACCGGCGGACACGGCGACTTGCGTGGGTCCCACGACACCCAGCTCTGCTGCGGCGGCTCCATCTCCGGAATTAGCAGGATTATTGACAGCCCAGCGGAGTGCTATAGATATGCACGCGAGGAGCTGCGTCAGGGAGCGGACTTTATCAAGATCATGGGTGGCGGTGGTGTTGCCAGCCCTACGGACCGGGTTGAGCATGTACAGTTTTCGGATGAGGAGATTAGGGCTATAGTCACTGTTGCGCGGAACGCGGGCACATATGTCACGAGTCATAGTTACACACCGCGGGCGATTCAGCAGGCTATCAAGCTCGGCGTGCGCGGTATCGAGCATGGGAATCTTATTGATCTTGAGACGGCATAGATGATGGCTGAGATGGATGTTTTCTTGACTCCGACGCTCATTACACATGTCATGTCTAAGCAGATGAATTTCCTGCCTGCTGATGGCGCTGCTAAGAATGAGGAGGTTCTTGAGAAGGGATTGGAGACAATGAAGATGGCTGTCGATGCGGGTGTCACCGTCTGCTTTGGGACTGATCTTCTTGGTCCGATGCATTTTGCCCAGAGCAAGGAGTTTTCGGTGCGCAGTTCGGTTTTGACTCCATTGCAGATTCTGCGCAGTGCTACTGTCAATGCCGCTCGTCTTGTTATGCAGGAAAATCCGTTGAAGGATATCACCATTCTGGATCGAGTGGAGGAGCACCTTCTAGCTGTGATCAAGGATGGGAGGGTTGCCACTTCACGGTGGGACAAAATCAAGGTAGATCTTTGAGGTTCTAAGGGAACAGTATTTTTCAGTTATATCAATGATACTAAAGACCTGTGAAAGTAGGGCTAATCCCGTTCGGTATCGGGGCGGGGCACTTCCCGAACTCCGCCCAACTCTAAAAAGAATATACCATTTTTCCATGGTTACTTGAAAATATGACGTGGGTCGCATTGTTTTGATACTTTCATGCCCTTCACCGTGCAAGTCAAGGAGTGAAGCCCGAAGATATTGGCACAAAGACAGGCGGTAAATACCCATCTAGAGAAACGCACTATAGTACACACCTCGTATCAAGGATATAAGCAGCACACATTACACATTTTCCTTACTCTGTCCAATCTGAATTGATATCTTCGTTGCACTTATGCCTATGGAATCCGAGCTGGGGTCACTCACCATGAGTTTTGGCAGCAGCGCGCTTGTCGTTCAAAAAAAAAATACCTCAATTCTGATCCAGTCTCCGTGTGGTTCTGGCAGGTGTTGGAAGTCTTGATATTTGAGCGATTGCTAGCATGGCCTTAGTATTTGCTACAAGCTGTGAGCTGGGATATATTATTCGGCCGCATACAGAAAGCACCCAACGCATGCACACTTCTTAATGGTAAATGGGTAAGACTGTGTCAACAAAGTCAAGATAGGGTTTTAGTAAAGGAATAACATCCTCAGTTGGAGGGAGCCAATTAAATATCGGCAATCCAAGATTATTTTCGGAAGCAGATGTCCGATCTTGCTGTACTGGATCCTTCATTGGGGAGAATATGATGTCTTGGGCGCCAATGTTGTCTTGCAAAAGTGCTGTGAATTGGGGGCAGGCAACTCGGGAGAGTCTATAGAGGATTCTGGCCCAGAGTTAGAATCCGGGCATTAATATGCTCGTCATCCTAGTCAAGGTCCGAATCAGATAGGTTATAGAATTATTGTGCACTGACCATTCTCCATCGTGTGGCGAGTGCGTAGTACATCGTATAGTAGTAACTAACTAGTCAGTTGGCCAATTGGCCATTTGTGGCCTTACAATTCAGGCGTCGAGAACAAAGGCGGTGTGGATATAACCGCGCTCAAGTGCCTGAACTCATCCCGCAGTTCGGCCCTGATGTCGCCTCGATCTTTAATTCCAGAGCCTTCCCTCCGCACTGGAAACGAGGATCGGCTGCACTCAGGATGCTTGCTGCTAGATTGACGCACCCATCTCTTTTATTGTCGCCCTTCTAACCTTCCATCTCGACCTCGTCCTCCGTCCACTCGAATATTACTTTCCTTTACCTCTCTACACTCATCTACCTTGACCCAGAAACCAAGTACAGGGAGCTCTCCAACATTTAATAAGAAGTACAATTTCCAGAAGGAGTCATTGTCGCTCGTTTGTCTTGAAGTCACTATATCTGCATCTCGCCACAATGCCTGGTCTACCGAGTATGTGCATGGTTTTTTGGTTCCATGATATGGTTATCTCCGCGGTTATGCTAACCTGTCGCGTCATAGCGAATATCGACCTCGATGAGTGCATCGCCCGGCTCTACCGAAAAGAGCTGCTCGCGGATTCGGTGATCGAGGCGATCTGTCTCAAGGCGAAGGAACTTTTGATGAAGGAAAGCAATGTGGTACATATTGCTGCTCCGGTCACTGTGGTCGGCGATATCCATGGTCAATTTTTCGATATGATCGAGATCTTCAAGATCGGCGGCTTCTGCCCGGATACAAATTACTTATTCCTTGGTTGGTCACACCCGGAGAATGCTCTGTTCGGGAATGAAAGCAGGCCTCAGCCTCGAACATATTTGTTGCCCGCTTTTGGTGTGAAGTGTTGCTGATAAGAGAATCGACAGGCGATTATGTCGACCGCGGCCTATTTAGTGTGGAGACCATCTCACTCCTCGTGTGTCTCAAACTACGATACCCCCAACGAGTGCACCTTATCCGCGGTAACCACGAGTCGCGTGGAGTCACTCAATCATACGGCTTCTATACCGAGTGTGCCCGCAAATATGGCAACGCCAATGTCTGGCATTACTTCACCGACATGTTCGACTTTTTGACACTAAGCGTTGTGATTAATGATGAGATATTTTGTGTTCATGGTGGCTTGTCACCTTCTATCCATTCGATTGACCAAATTAAGATTATCGACCGTTTCCGCGAAATTCCACATGAAGGCCCTATGGCGGATCTGGTCTGGTCCGACCCCGATACAGAACGCGATGAATTCTCACTTTCACCCCGTGGCGCTGGATACACTTTTGGAGCACAGGTTGTGCGGAAGTTCCTAGAGGTGAACAGCATGTCCCATATCCTGCGTGCACACCAACTCTGCCAAGAAGGCTACCAGGTTCTTTACGATGATCGCCTGAGCACGGTTTGGAGTGCACCCAACTACTGCTACCGTTGTGGAAATCTGGCTAGTGTGCTCGAAGTGAGCGACACTGGCGAGCGCTTTTTCAATATTTTTGATGCTGCACCTGAAAATGATGCCCATCGCCTTGAACAGCTGGGTCAGCAGCAGCAGCAGATCAAGGATGGCTCTAGTCCAATGGTCGACTACTTCTTGTGAATCTCTGAATTTTCTCATGATACCCATTGGTTACTGTTAATGTTTTGTTTGATGTTAATGTTCATGTATTTCAATTTCCTTTTTTTACCCCCCGCACTAGACAGGAGTTCGGGATAAAGCTGTGCATTCACAAACAGCTAAATGTGCTATTGGCATTTGAAATAAAAATATCATACACCAATAAGTGAGGCTTAGTATGACGCATAAACAATAAAACTGGGATCCAAAGCATCAGCCCAGTGGGACGCATCTCTAACAGTTTTGTCAAAGAAAGAAACTCATCACGCTTTGAAAACAAACGGCCGCTCAATAACTTAACGAGATAGCGCTCTCAACCCATGTTTACCAGTCCTTGGCAATGTCAAAGGACCACTCGAACAGCAGGTGAGTGTGCTGGTCATCATCGATGAACTTGGAGACAGCGTTGTAGTGGCCACGGGCGATCATGCCAGACGGGGCCTCCTCCTCGTTGACTAGAAAGGGATGGTGTTAATAAAAGCTAGATTTGAAAACTGGGAAACAGAAGCCAGGTTTGAATACTCACATTGCTTGGAGTAGTCAACCTTGGAGGTAGTGTTGGGTGCGTAGCTGCCCAACATCTCCTCGTCCTTGCTGACACGGATTCCCTTACGCTTGACGACCTGCAGGTACTTGAGGCCACTCAGGACTTCATGGTGGACCTGGAAGGTGACCTTGATGTGGAACTTGGAGCCTTCCTTGATCTTGAAAGGCTTATCCTTAAGGCTGTCAACAGAGCCCGGGGAGGACAGGTCGATAACAACATCCTCACGCCCGTCGACTTGCAGAGCCAGGGACTTGATGATACACTTGCGAGGGTCGTTGGGATCGGCAATGGGATCACCAGAGTTGAGACCCAAAGAGGCCTTCCAGCGGTTCATAGCTTCATCGTCCTTGTCTATTGCGGGGGAGATAAAGACGGTTAGCTGGGAAATCACCGAGGGCTAGATATTGCCAATGAATTGTAATTGGATCAGCATACCGAGCTGGTTGTACTCATCGAGGGTCTTCTTCTCTCCGACCTTGAAACCCTCGGTGGTGGTGGAAGCGAGCTCGTCATCGTGGTGGTCGGCCATTGTTTACTGATTTAGAAGGCGGGACGGAACCAAGGATTGGAGTTCGGGAAAGTGATGTCGAGAAAAAGGGGGGATTTGGACAGTGAGGGAAAAGAAGAAACAAGTTCGAAACTCGAAACGATAAAGAAAAATAAAATGGGCTAAAGCTCGAAGCGTCTCCTGAGACCTTGGTGGGGGTGGAAAGGCGGTGGGAGAGGGGCGAGGCTATTCGGATTCCCACTTCTGTACGCACGTTCACGCACCGTTGATCCTGCACGGTTATATTGACCGGTGTTTACATTGCCTAAATTGTATGGAGTAAGTTGTGTTTTCTACTGGCAATGTGTAGATTGTAGGGAGAATTGGAATGGTCCTACACTGAGTATATAGACCCCAACTATGCCCCAATTCCGGGTGTGGGGGCTGACGATCATGCAATTAGGTAGAGGGTACGTATGTTGTACAACATATATTGTAGTTGCCCACGTTGGGACATATAGTTTGTAGGTTTTATTGCAGCTTACAAAAGGTATAAAGTCTACATACATCATTGATGTATGTAACAAGGTATGTATGCTGCTATAACTAGTTATATATTTTCAATATATATACCTACATGTACTCCATGTGGAACAGGAAGGACTTTTATAAGAAATTCAATGCGGTATGGAGGCATTACATATAGCCACACTCGCATAGACATAGAAGAGCAAGTATCCAGAAACATAGTACACAAAGACACAGACTGGATTCTGTCTCTCTGTGCGGTAGTAGATGAAGATCAAGTCCCAAAGGAGGAAAGTGTTGGACCGGAATGTAAAGGTCACGGGGCCAACAAATAAAATACATTGGGGTATACAATATACGGTGTATCAACATAATTGACCAACCACAATCTCAAAATACCACACATGACCACCTATTTACCGGACCTTACCGGAACAAGTCAAGCTTCAGAACAACGCAATTATTCGCGACTTGCATCTTCTCATCTCTCCTGATTGACTTCTTTGGGTATCTGTGTTTTTTTTTTTTTTTTTTCTGGTTATCAATCTTAATTTTGGTTTCGCACTTCTCTTTTCGCCAAGATATAAGATCTGTCGGTGGTAATATTTGATTATTGATTTTTGTCGCTTGACGCGCCTGCTACGTGGCCAACGTTGGCGCATCTTTCCCAGAAGTCACCAAGTCTCCCGCAAATCTTCATTTCCACTTCACTCGACATCCCCCCACCATGTCGCGAACACTCCCAAAACAGTTTAATCCGCTCATCACGATCGAGGTTGCTCCCACCTGTAAGTTCGAAAACTGGCGCGTGGTGGCGCGACCGCGCGCATCGGCTATCTACCCGCCTCGTGCTCCCTCAATGCCTCGAGGCCATCGCTAACAATTTCGTGTTACTCTTGATTACAGATGACGAGCTCCTTGCCCGCCGTCGTCTTGGGCAAACCAACCTCTCCGTCAAGCCTGCCCAGATTGGCACCTCGAACGCAACCAAGCCCGAGAACCTAGGCGTGTTTGAGTATGCTCACCTCCGTGCTCCGCTGCCCAAAGACCTCGAGGGCTCTGAGATCTTCCCTTCCCACAGCCCTCAGCAGCACCCAGAAAGCTACTTCTTGATGGTGAGAGCCCCCGTTTTATCTAATTTGGAAGCAAACGGTCATTAACTTCGGGCTTCATCATTACAGCGCCGTAGTAAAGATGGCTTTGTTAGCGCGACTGGAATGTTCAAAATTGCCTTCCCATGGGCCAAGGCTGAGGAAGAGCGGACAGAGCGTGAGTATCTGAAGGCTCGCGAGTACACCAGTGAAGAGGAGGTTGCTGGAAATGTGTGGATCTCGCCCACGTTTGGTATGTTTTGCCCGGGATGTTCTCTCTACCAAACAAATCCTGACTCTATACCTAGCTCTTGAGCTTTCCAAGGAATACCAAATGTACGATTGGGTGCGAGCACTGTTGGACCCAACAGACATTGTTCAAAGTTCTTCCAGCGCAAAGAAGCACATCACCCCCCGCCGAAGTTCGAAATTCCCTCCGATGAGCCGCCCGTGTCGCAGCGCAACCGCAGAGGACGGTCCGCTTCTCCGAGCAAGAAGTTGTCTCCTCGGAAGCCCCGCAGCAGCCGCATCACCAAGGATGTCACTAGCACCCCGTCCACAACGGCTGCAAACGCTAGCCTCCAGTCGGCATTGGATATCTCAGCTTCAGCCCTCCCGGACTCGATCCCTGAGTTGCGAGCTGTGGATGCCGAAACGGAAGTGACGTCAAGCGGGTCTCCTGGAAAGAAGATCAGAGCGCGCAAGGCAACGAGATCTGCTACCGCGGAGCTCGAAGACGAGACTACGGAGGCGACCAAGGAGGAGAAGAAAGAAAAGAAGAAGACCGAGAAGAAAGAGAAGAAGAAACAAGAAACTAAGGAACGGGATGAGACAGCCGAAGTATCAGTGGCCGACGATACCACAGATGCTCCCAAGGCCACCCACACTATTGTTTCCCTGGACATGCCTATTTGTCTCCCAGAGGTGCCCTCTGCTGCGGAGACCGAAGACATGATCGCTCAGGCTAAGGTGATGGTGGAAGAGGCTATCAAGGCGCAAGCCGAGGGCACTACTGCAGAATCGACATCTGTCAAGGCGACCAGCAAGCGCAAGGCCGAGGATGATGAGGATGAAGAAACATCGGCCGAATCTTCCCAGCGAGCCAAGAAAGCCAAGGTGCTCGAGAACAAGCTCAAGCAGGAGCGTGTCCGCAACCGCTCTATCTTCGGTGTCTCCGTGGCATTTGCCCTTGCGTAAGTCATTCTGTGCTATGAATATCCCGAATCAACGCTAACATCATATCTAGGGCTTCCATCCCATACTTTTTCTGAACAGAATGAGGTCTTGCTTGACAAAGTCTAGTCTGTTTGAAATTTTGGTCTCTTCTTTTCGGCGTGTCTGTCGCTTGCGACAGCCCAGCTACCCAAATATTCGCTTCTGATGCCCAATTCCCCTTGTCGTTATCATAAATATATTCCTCGCCGGCGATCCTGAATGCCCTGTGCCTGTTATTGACACCATTTTCTAATATCTTGCCCTCCCTTTCCCCTCCCTCTCCCTGTGTTTTACACCAGACTTGGTTATTTGGATTGCCCCATAGCTCATTTTATGTCCCTTACCCTCGCTCTCCTGCTGATACCAACTTCCCCCTCTCCCACCTTCTACTGCCCTGTGGCAGCCTTCCAAGTAGTCAAGGACGATTCGCTCAATGATAGTGAAATGCTTTGATGTTACCAGTTTGTGTTTCTTGTAGGGTTATAACCTGTATGTTGAAATCTTGGTATAGCTGATATCAACAACTTTCAATGTTCTAATGTCTGTGCTATTTTGCTACTCCGGGGCTGAAGTGAGGTTTACCGATTGAAGGCAATCACTAGAGCATGGATGAGTCGTTACTTTTACCTCAGGAAGGGATGTACTGTATAGTGCGATAATTATATTAAATGCCCAATGCTATTCACGGTCTGGTGAGCATGGAGTAGTATTGTTCAAACATCGAACAATAGAACAATGTAGGATGTATGACCAGTTAGGGCATTAGGGCATTGTGAATGTTATACTTACGTTTATTATCCCTTAGATGCACATCCAACAATGTCTGTCTACATAACTAATAGTTCCAAGGTTGTTATTCACATCGACCGGCCAATGACGGCCAAGTAACGGTTGATGCAAACATGCAAAACATCCATGCTGAAGCTCCGCACCCCGATAACAATTCCAATACTTCTTTCACTCCTTTCAACCTTTGCACATATTCCGAGGCTTCTCAAATTGACCGGTAATATGTCGCTCCCGGGTCTCGAGCTAACGCAGCCATCGGAGGAAAGATCGCAGGCACCCGCGCAACCATCACAGATCAGCCTGACCCCAGGCTCGGAGTGGCGGTTTGAGGTCGCCTTTGGACATATTATCAAAGTAAAGGTACGTCATATTCTCTGATATGATTGTGTTCCTTCTCATTCAAGTTGTGCAGCTTCTCAATGGAACCGCTGAACTCTTCGGTACAGAGCTTGCCGAATCGCAAACCTACACATTTACCGGCACAAAGGCGGCAATCTTCACATGGCATGGCTGTGCACTTGAAGTCACCGCGATTGAAACAGCATCAACAACATCTGATGGAGTCACACCGACAGTGGGTCATGGCGCAGGAGGCTGTCAAAGCGAATACACGGCGGAGGAAACGCCAATGGTAGAATATGCCAACGTACACTTTGCGCTGGAGACAATGCGGGAAGAAGCCCAATCAATAGGCAAGGATGGCCCGCGCGTGCTCCTTCTCGGCTCTGAAAACACCGGAAAGACAAGTTTGGCAAAGATTTTGACCGCATATGCGACGAAGATCGGTCGTCAGCCGTTGGTCGTGAACCTCGACCCTACGGAGGGTATGCTTGGCGTCCCTGGTACACTGACCGCGACTGCCTTCCGTACCATCTTGGACGTCGAAGATGGCTGGGGAAGCAGTCCCATGTCCGGGCCCAGCCCTGTGCCTGTCAAGCTGCCGCTTGTGTACAGTTACCCAATGCAAAGCCCGCTGGATGGCGAAGGCGTCGTGTACCGACCAGTCGTCTCACGCCTTGCACTGTCTGTCACAGGCCGGATGGCCGAAGATGAGGATGCGCGCGAAACGGGAATCATTGTCGATACACCCGGAATCCTTGGCACAGACAAGCCCGGCACTATGGAACTCATTAACCACATTGTCACAGAGTTCTCGATTACAACGATCCTGGTACTGGGTTCGGAGCGCCTGTACAGTACTGTTGCCAGACAATATGACAACAAGCCCACCTCCAGCGCAACAGCCGCTGTCTTCGACGAGCACATCTCCGTCGTCAAGCTTTCTAAATCGGGTGGCTGTGCTGACCGTGACGATGCCTTCCGCAAGGCAACACGGGAGTCCCAAATTCGTTCCTACTTCTTCGGAAACCCCATCCCGTCCTCCTCGCCATCTTCCGCCATCACACTCTCTCCCCACGCACAGCAACTTGACTTTGCCTCTCTCCCCGTATACAACTACACCGTCTCTTCAGCAGATGATGAAGACGAAGACGAATACGACCCTTCCCAGCTGGGAACAGGCGACTCCTTCCTTCCCGGTGGTGGTGGCATGGATGACTACGCCTCACACGAAACGAAGCAAGACCCAGACCGCGCCGCCCCGCTCCCTGGTGTTGTGGGCTCATTCTCAGAGTCCGCTGACCACGCAAATTCCAACGCCAACGCCAACAACGCCAGCAGCGTCCCCCTGAAAAAGGTTCTCCCACCTGCTCCCTCTGCGCTGGCAAATACCCTCCTTGCAATCACTCATGCACCTACCACGGCATCCCCCGCCGAAGTACGTGACGCGAGTATCATGGGCTTCTTGTATGTTGCTGATGTCGACGCGGATAAGGGCAAGATCCGTGTGCTTGCGCCTGTCGGCGGAAGAATGCCTCCTCGCGCTATTATATGGGCGAAGCGTTGGCCTGGGGAGTTGGTTGGGTTGGTTGGTTAGGGAATTTTCTTTTCATTGCATTGTTTCTTGCTTGCATTAGATATTTGCATCTATTCTTCGGATATGGAGTTGGAGATTTAGATTTCACTTAGCATGGGGTTGTGGCTCGTTATTACATACAATCAATATTTCTACAGGTGTTTGTTCAATGTGCATGTAGTTTATAATTCGTACAACCTTAGAATAACATGTCGCTTGTTGGTTTCTCGAAACATACTTTTATCTCAAGGCTAGATTTGACTATGTACGAAACAAAACAAGGGGAGAATGGATTACAGATCAACTATATAATTCCTTCCCGGTTGGGAAAGTCGCGACTGAAATCTAGTACACATTGCCTATAGCAGTCAATTAATCTTCTACTATAATTTTTGATCGAGTGAGAGACTCATTGAGTGTGAAATGTGAGACGAGAAATGTCGGAATATCTCCATGCAAATTAAGTTTGTTTTGTCTACTGAACGCGCTTCCTCCGTACAAATATATTATCAAAAACCAGTAGTCAACCAGAAGCCATTTAAATTCCCGTATTCCCCGAGCTGCTATAAAACTCTATAATCCTTGCTAAACCCATCTTCAGGCTCTCCACTTCCACCGAGAAGATGACACGGAACCAGCCTGCAACCTCATTATGATATGCATACCCCGACGACATCACCACCCCAATCTGCTGCAGCCGGCGGGACAAATCCCACTCTGCAGCCCATTTCCCTTGACTAGTGACAATGGTGATATCCAAACACTTGGAAAGGTCAATCCAGAGAAAAAACCCTGCAATACTAGAGACATACTAAGGTTTAGTTCCAAACTTCTCCAGGGCTGTTTTTGAAGATCTGCAAAGTTCAGGGAAGACCGACCTGCCTTGTGCAAAAGGGATCCCTGCCTCCTCCAAAGCTTGTGCAGCTAAATCCCGGTGTGAACGAAGTAATTGACGGCTTTTCTGAAGAAAGGTCTCCACAAAGTCTCTGTCCTCGAGAACGGCGGTTGCAATACTGCAGGATATATTCGAAGGCCAATGGAATCGACTATATTATAGCTCGTTTAGTACCCCAACCAACACACGGAGCCAAGCTCTCCCTTACCTCATCGACAAAGCCGCTTGTAAGAGCCTCTGATTCTGGCTGATCAAGCTTCCCAGCCGTAACCCTGCTGCAGCGAAATCCTTCGACATCCCATACAGCACATGGATTAAGGCCGGATCCACCCCGAGCGGAACGGGGTCGATTGACAGAACGGAAACAAAGCCAGTGGAATCATCATTCCCGTACACCGATAGCGCATACACTTCATCGCTGATGAGATGGATCTGATACTTCTGACAGAACCGCAGTAGTGCCTCCAGAGTCTCACGAGAGTAGCACCGGCCGAGCGGGTTGTGCGGGTTACAGATCAGGAGGGCCCGTATTGTTACACCGGTCTCGTCGCATGCTTGTAAGAATGTCTTCTCATACCGAGCCACGGCATCTGGGCTAAATGGATCGTCCCCGTGGAAGGGGACATAAACCAGTTGGCAGTTGGAGGGGACGCGGAGATCTCCCGCGAAGGACCCGTAGATGGGTTGGCCTAGCAGAATCCCGTCGCCCGGGTTGGTTAGACTGGAAGCACAGATGGCGTTGAGGCTCGTCACGCCATTTGCGAAAACGATGTTGTTAGGTGAAATCGGGGTAGCGGGATGAAAGTAGGTTGTAATTAGATTGGCCATGGCGGTTCGAAGGCGGCTTGAGCCGAAGGGGCCTTCATGATAGGTGAGAGTTGTGTGGTCGAGGCTTGATGATACCTGGTATTTACCCTTGTCTTAGTCAACTTGTTTCTTGTACTCTGTACAGTGGGTGGAGATGAGTAGTCCAAGGCTTCACCTTCGTGCGGATGTATTCAAGCATTGTGTCTTGCATAATGAACTACCGCATGGGTTAGTACGTTAGATATCGGCGAGGGGGCTTTTTGACTTACATTTTCAGCGTTGCTGAAAGATACAATACCCTGCTTGGTATCTTTGTCAAAGTGCATCTTGGGAGGGCCAAGGTAGCCATCGGCCAAGCCGGCCTCGACATATCTTTCTCCGCGAGTCGAAAGCATGTCGTACTGATGAGATGATGAGTGCTAACCTTGGAAAGGAGGCTCTTCTTTATATTGGACAGTGATGGGTCAGTGGAAGAAGCAAATGCTAGGATATTATGACAACAGGCTAATACCGGATTCCGGCGTCAAGCCGGTGTGAGGGGTAATAATAGGGCTATGTTCTACCTAGGTAGACTTTTATATATATGCTATGTGATATGCTATGCTATGCTATGCTATGCTAGTACAATACAAAATAAAACTCCCTCCAATCATTGTACACCCCAATGCTCCCAAGTATACATGCATTTACAGACAGAAATCAAAGCACCCGAAGGAAACAAGACAATAACCAGCGATAAACCTCACTCCCACCTCCTCCACTCATCAACAGCCTTCCTCATCTCCTCATCACAGTCATACCCCTTCGACTGAGCAACCAACAACTCCTCCCTCCGATCAAGGAACCGCCTCTCAGCCTCAACCCTCCTCTGCGCAACAGACCTCAACAACCCAAAATCATCCCTAACAACCGCCTCCCGAAACTTCGCCCGCATACGCGGCGAGTAAAGCTGACAACTCGCCTCACGAGTCCGACCAGGCCCATCACCAGGCAAGATCCGCATCTTCGTCGTGACCATGCACGCAATAGGATGATTAGATCTAGCCAGCGGCCAAACAACCTCATCATAGCAGTCTTCGCAAACACACATCTCCGGCAGGGACGGGATAAAGTGCCATGTACCAAGAGCAGGCCTATCACGACGACAATCACGCAGCACGACCTTGCGCCGCGCGTAGCTAAGGAACTCGCGCGTATCTGGGCGGCGGGTGCGCGAGGAGTCCGATTCAGCACGGGATGCAGATGCATCGAGGAGATCGATGAATTTCACGAACCGCGGACTGGACGTGACGAAGTCGCACACACGCTCGGTGGGGTCCGGGCTTGGTTGGAAGGTTTCGCGGTGGCTGGGCATTAGGATGCGGATGTTGCGTGCGCAGCTGCTGCAGACGTGGAAGCCTGCGAGGTTGGTGCCGGTTTCGGGGTCGTAGATGCGGTGCCAGGATTGTTCGGTGATGATGCGACCGGGACAGGCGCGTGTACCGGGCGGTGGGCGTGTCATTTGGTAGAGGAGCTCTAGGCTGTCGTGTTGCTTTTTTATCATTTGGGCCCAGGCGAGACGGGTCCATGCGTTGGCAAAGGCGCATCGTGTCTTTTGTCCCGCTGGCTTTGAGAGGCTTGGGATGAAGTAGTCGCGGTACCGGGAGTGTGCGATTTGGCTCATGCAGGATGGGCAGATGTCCAAATGGGGGAGGCCTTTGAGTGTATACCAATCTTGGTAGCCTGCTACGGCGATGGTTCGAGGGCATGGAGAGAGACCCAGGCCTACTGAGCTCGGGCGCTGTGGTGATGTGCCTGGGGGTCGAGTAGGTGCGGGATGAGCCAGCGACCTGTCAGTATTGAGTTGGGTTGCGACTTGGGTTGATGTAGGTTTGCTCATCTCGGGTGCTGGTCGTGAGGGATGGCGAGATCCAGACATCGACCGGGTAGGCGGCATTGTCACCGATGTTGCGCGGGCACGTGAGGCCGGGGGGACTTCCTGTTGTGCTCGTTGGGTGGGGACACGCTGAGGCCCACGCGAAGGTGAGTGCGATGCTGGAGCAGGAGCAGGAGGCGGAGGGGGCAAAGATATGTTGAGAGGATTCAGTTTGACAGGCTTTGCAGTTGTGGGCATTTGCCGTACCTCCGGGTCAGACATAGAGCCCGGGTCCCGCTGTTCTTGTCGCTGGCGAAGTTTCTCCTCAATGCGTTCTGCGAGGGTGGGCCCATTTGGCAGAGCTGAAACAGGAGCCAAGGGCACAGGCGCTTGGGGCTCGTGCGAGGGTGGTCTGTTGTATGTGGTGGCCGTGGCCGAATCGGACAAATACCCGGAGCTAGGCTCCCGTCGAAAGCGTTCTGGCATTGGTCGTGTTGTCGAAGGTGCATGTCTAGCACTATTGGATCGACCAATGGAAGACTTGGGTGGTTGTATATAGGTCTTGTCATGCATGGGAGCTCGAGCACCACTGCGATCCGGCACACTCGGTCCACGGGAGCCATGAGAGGTATTTTGCATTGGCAGCCCGTGTCTGCTAGAATTGATATCCCGGCTATGAGAGGGCGGTTGAGATTCCAGCTGTGTATTGAGCTCACGGGTGGGCTGTTGCTGCGCCGGAGGCCGAGATGGTGGGCCGCGTGGTTGGCTTGCAGTTGAGGGCGGCGCACGTTTTGGCCGATCATCCGTCTCAAACCTGACGGTGTTCCGGAAGATTGGCTCTTGAGCAGGCGGTGTCATTGGCCCTGCACTTTCATCTGAAGACACACTCCCAAGTCCAGGCACACTGGGAACACTGGCAGGAGAGGTAGACGACGGAGGGGGCGAGTTGGCAGAGACTATGATGGGATACTGATCGACAGCTCCTCTTGTATGAACACCGTCGACCCCGGGTTTATCTCCGAGCTTGGAGAGGCCGTTTAGCTCCTTTGAGAGGGACTGTGGCTCTTCCTCAACGCAAGGCGCTGGAGGCCATTGCGATCGCGCCCGTCGAGAGCTTCGAGAGGAAGTCATTTCTGAAAATTTGGTTTGGTCACACCACACAGATAGTATGGAATATGCTTGTTTTAGAAGGTTAACCTGGTGCGTTGACGTCTCGTGGAATAGCTCGGGAAATGTGGTTCATAGTATAGGAAGTCGGACTTAAAAGGCGAAAAATTGGAGGGGAGCAGAAAACTAAGGCACGTATGAAAGAGAGAGAAAAATTTTCACGAGAGTAGACAAAGATGCTCGCTTTAAAGTGCGTGCGCAAGCCGGGAGTACAAGGGTATATAAGCATTGGTGGATGGCATCGGGCACCACCCTGAGAGAACGGGCCTCTGATAGGCCATTTCAGTGATTGGGCAAGAGCAAAACTACACACAAGAATAGCTTCAGGCTGAAGAGAAATCACGAGGCAAGGATCGTAGTGGCAACCGTGAAACAACTGGTCGAGTCACCATCATCACAAAGGGGTGTGGCTATGGCAGCCTGTTGACTATTGGGCACGAAGTGGAACCCCGGGTACTGCCGTTGCGTTTCAGGTCGATTTATTTAGAATCAAATCGGATCATTGGGCAACAAATGAAAATCTTGATGCTCAGGGGCTGGTGTTTAGAAAACTTCGAGTGACCGATCAGAGGCTAATGACTTGCGTAGTGTCTCAAGTGTATCTCAAGTGTATGGAGCGGGGTAGAGATCTATTCTCTTCCAATGTTTCATGATGCAGTCAGCGGCAGATGATACAAAGTCGGCGCTATGTCGTCCTCATGCAGAGCCAGGGCCAACTGACATGCCGGGTCGTGGGTCGTGGGGGATTGGCCCCTCATGGGGCTCCGGGTGGCTTGCATGTTGATTTTGTACGGAGAACCGAAGCGCTAATCGGGCGGCAGATCAGACTAGGGGCTCCGGGTGAGATGGGTCTCCTTTCAGAGAAGAGCGACCCTGGAAACCCTCCAGGGCTGTGTTGCAGTGGTGTGTTGCATAGTATAACAAGTATACCCTTGTTCCGAACGGCCCGACGGAAATGGCGTCATATCCCTGTGAAGATGGTTGAATAGTCGAAATGTCAATGTTGGACTTGGGGAACCTATATGAAGCACATCATCAAAGCCAAATACGCCGTACCCACATAAACACTGAAATTGGAATTTGTTGGTTCGTCAAATGAGAGAAGAGGATAGAAAGGAAGCGCAACAATTCCGCCGGAGATTGCGGGGATCCGATGACAAATGTGAAGCTGATGGCCTTAATACCTCCCATACTTCCCCCCACCTACTTATTTACTATGTTTCGGTCTCTTTTACGCAGTAGTCCTCGATTGACAGCACTTCGCAATCACATTGCCCCTCCACTCGTGAACCAATTCATTCCGATCCGCAGCATGTCCGTCCCAACAACCATGAAGGCCGTAGTGGTCGAGCAGACCGGCGGCCCTGAAGTGCTCCAATTCAAGACCTCATACCCAGTTCCTACCCCACAAGCAGGTCAGCTGCTAGTGCGCAACAACATCTCCGGCGTAAACTACATCGACACCTACTTCCGAACGGGCCTATACCCCGCGCCCAAGCCCGAGATCTTGGGCCGCGAGGGCGCTGGTATTGTCGCTGCTGTCGGTCCCGAGACTTCTGGGTTCGAGGTCGGCGATCGGGTTGCATGGTTAGCTACTGGTGGGTATGCGGAGTACACCGCAGTGTCGACGGACCAGACTGCGAAGATCCCCGAGGGGATCAGTGATGAGGATGTCATGGCGTCGTTCCTGAGCGGTTTGACCGTGCTTGCTTTCGCAAAGGAGACTTATCCTGTGCAGAAGGGCGACTGGGTTCTTCTCCACGCTGCAGCTGGTGGTGCTGGCTTCCTTATGACGCAGATTTTGAAGTCTCTGGGTGCCAAGGTTATTGGTACCGCTGGCGGCGCAGAGAAGTGTGCTCTTGTGAAGAGCCTTGGTGCCGATGTGGTGATTGACTACCGCAGCGAGGAGGGTAAGGACTGGGTTAAAAAGGTCAAGGAAGCTACTGGTGGTCGTGGTGTCGATGTTGTCTACGATTCTGTCGGCAAAGATACCTGGGAGGGAAGCTTGGAGGCTGTCAAGCGCAAGGGTACTATCGTTTGGTTTGGCAATGCCAGCGGGCCTGTGCCCCCGCTTCCTCTTGCGTATGACATTTCCCTCTCTATATTGGTCTTGACTGATGATACTCATGATATTTTAATAGGAAACTTACCCCCAAGTGTGTCAAAATTGCTCGCCCGTCGCTCTTCGGATACATTCAGACTCGCGAAGAGTTCGAATCCTACACCAATGAGCTGTTCGGCCTGCTCAAGTCGGGCCAGCTCAAGACTAAAATCCACAAAATCTATCCGCTAGAGGACATTGCTCAGGTGCACAAGGTATGTAGTCTCTGTCGTTCTTTGCTTGCGATATTGTGTATTCTAACCCGCTCGACAGGATCTGGAAGGACGGAAGACCATGGGCAAGCCACTGCTGCGGCCTTGAAGCAGGAGCTGGCTCTTTTAAACAATACAAATCGACTATGGTCTATTGATAATGTAAGACTACGATACAAGTGTGTGAATATTCCGTACATATCCATACGAATTTCATTTCTAGTTCTGCATTTAAGAACATATTTGGGAAACATCACGGTAGATTGACGGCGGACTGATCACGTGGTAACCCGATAGCTGCAATAAGCGACCTTTCAATCACTGATTCTTCCCCTCCAGTTCACCCTTGATTTCCTCGTTCTTCTCAACAACTTGCTCCTTCGGAGTCTCTGATGGTCCTTGGCTGGGATGTCCTTCAGGTCCCTGGATCTTCGCACCTTCCAGCTTATCCGAAGTCTGAGTCGCTTGGCTGTCTGTTTGTCCCAGGCTGAGATGTCCCTCGGGCTCCTTGTTCTTCCCAATCTTCTGCGCATCCGAAGTCTGGGCTCCTCGCTTGGACTGTTCCTTTTCTATCTTCTCCTTTTTCTCCTTCAGGAACTTCGCAATGACATCCGGCGCGATAACAGGCTTGATCCTTTGTGGATTCTGGAAATGATTGATAGTCCGATCAAGGGCCTCCTTGGGGGTCTCATCAAAGGGAATGTTGTAGGGCTCATTGCTAAGACGCGTGTTGGACTGCTCTCCCTCAGTCGACTTTCCCTTGCCTTTCTGCGGATTCGGATCCACCAAGCCCATCAAGTCTTCGACTTCCTCCAAGTCCCAGCCGAAGTTCTCAAGGGCATGAATCATCTCCCAGACAGCGACCATGGCATCCTGACCGGGCTGGACATTAAAGTCCAACTCGTGGGTTATCATGTGCATAGCCCACTCAGCCGGGGTGGGCTCGGGAGGGCGCATAATAGACTCCTTTGCGCGGCGGCGTGCGACTTCCTCCTCGTCGGGGATGAAGTCAATAGGCATGGGCTCCACGTAGTCCATCATCCAGTCATTGTACATGAACTTGTAGAAACTTGGCAGGACCGACAGAATTTCATCAAAGTAGTACTGTCCGAAGTTGGTCTCATAGACATCCGTGATAATCTTCATACCGGGCAAGATATGGACAAACAGATGAGCTTCGACGAGAAATTCGAACTCATAGGTCGGGGCAAAACCAGCATCCCAATCAATCTTTTCCCAGGGAGTGAGGTCAAAGGGACCTCTGGCGGGATCACGGAATTCTTTGGCTCGAATCTTGCCCACGGGGGTGAGATCGGGGCCCAGCTCCCTGTAGTATGCGATGGTTTCCTCGGTAGGTTCCTCCAAAGAGATTACCTCAAAGCCATCGATGTCTGGTACCTGCTTGGCTTCGATCATGTCCATGTCAGCCAGAATCTTGAATTTTTGGGCAGTCCGGTCATTTCCGGCAATTGCAATTGCGTATTTGACGACTTTGCGAGCCATTTCAGTGGTGAAGACCTTTTGATCAGCATATCGAACGTTTGTCCAGGCCTCGGGGTCATCCACATCCTCGAAGTAGTAACCACCAAACAGCACGGAGCAACCGCGGTTGAAGTCTCCGGGGCCTTGATGATGCACAAGTTGCTGGTTCATCCACAACTCCTTGGCAGACCGATCGCAGGTTCGTCGGGCTTCCTCAAGATCCTCCTTCTGCTCGGGGCAAACATTGTGGTAGAGCAGGTACGAGAAGAAATTCTTCATTGTATCAGTGCATATTTTGATCTCCTCCTCGGTATCAGGATTGTAGTAGCCCATGTAGTACCCAGTCCTATCAATCAAGTTAGTATGTGACTTTGAATAAGTGTTCGAATATTCCCAAACTCACAGGTAGCCAGTGGCAACATCGTTGAAGGAGATTGGGTACGGTTTTCCCATCTTGGGAAATATGGCCGTGGTGCAGCGGGCGTCCATTGCCTCTTCTTTGGTCATTTCCTTCAATTCCGAAGGAGTCACTCCCTGGGAATGTTTGGGGCCCACGCTGACACCGCCGTACTGTAGGTATTTGAGAAAAACCTTGCGTCTGTAGGGCTCAAGACGTCGCTTGTACAAGAAGCGCTTGATGCCCTCGTCAATTCGACTAGATGGGTCACATTAGTGGGGTTATATCATGAATCATTGTGGATCTTACTCAAGAATGGGCAAAGCACTGTCATAAAAAGTTAGATACTGTCTCAGTTAGGGAGATATGAATGTACATACGGATCATAGATGGTCTTGTTCTCCTCGAACTCGTTTGGAGTCATCGGTGCATCGGCATAGAAGGGTTCAAATCCAGACGGTGCGTTCTACAAAAACTGTTAGATAAAGTCTGGGCAGATAAACATCAGTATCACAGTCATACCTCTCCTCTTTGACTCTTGGGGCGCCTCTTATTCTTCTTTTTCTTCTTCTTCGAAGAAGAACCATCGTCAAGTTCCACATTTGCGAGAACCTTTTCCTCGTCGGGGTCATGCTTGAATCCAATCTGGGGCGCTTTCTCCGAGACTGCACCATCCTTCACACCCGAGGTGTCTGTAGTATTCTCTGGCTTCTTTGTAACGATGGCAAAATCAATTGCCTTCGGCAAAGCGCATCCAAGGTCAGCTTCGGCTAGAACCTGGGCAACATGCTTGTTAGGCTCCTGTTCCAAACTAGCCAAAGGCTCCTCGATCTTTAGAGTACTATCAGCATAATGTTTTATTTGAGATACCAAAGAAATTGGGACCTGGTTAGATACTGTTGGGACACTCACATTATGCTCAGTCTGGGATACAACCTCCGACTTCTTGGGCTCAGGCTTCGCAGGAGTGACTGGATCAATAAAACGAACACGAGCATACTTTGGAGATGTTCGGCGCGATTTAGCACCCGACTCCGGAGAAGAGGTGACGGGTCCTTCCTTGGTAGCTTCACCATGCTCTTGGTCCGGGATGGTTGGGCCAAGGTTAGCAGTAACACCGTCGCCAGTCATGGCTTCAGTAGGCTTGGTAGGCTCTTCAGCGGCACTAGAGTCCAGTGCCTGAGCAACCGTAGACAAATCGCCTTCACGGGCAGGCTCAGTACTTTCATCCATGATGAACGATGAAGGTAAACGATGTTTGAAAGGATGAAGTTTCCCGTGTCGCGAGAAGCGAGGATAAACGTTGGAAGAGAGAAGGAAAGATAAAAGCAGAGAGACGAGACTCAATAGCAAGGCAACCTGGAAGGTTCATTGATTGCTTAGTCGTGATGCTTAGTCGTGATGAAACTCATCCACCTGGGTATAGATGGCATCAAACAACCAAACAATGCATATTTATGTTTCTTCCACTTTATAAGATGATCTACAATTTGTTATGTTTGAAAGAGAGAAAAAGATAACAAAAAAATTAAAAGTTACTTTGGATGTATAACTTGCTAAGGTGTATAGATGTTGATCGTATAGTTCGTATAGATCGTATGGTGTTAGGGCCGAAAATGACATTGGCCGCTTATCCCGCATTTCGGCTGGGATCATGTTTTCTACACAGAGCTCACTTCCTTTTCAGATATAAGCATACATTTGAATTATTCACCTCATTTGCATTCTGTTTGCCAAGTTTAAAGCTACCTGTGGACCTCCACGCCTCAGGGCTACTCCCGCTGTTCCAGCTGTTTGGGTCATCCGGAATACAGACCCCTTCAAGTCATAAAGTGATTTCTTATCAAAATGCCCTCGAAACCAGAGAGTCGGAAGACACCACAGCTAGGTAGCGAGGACCTGATCCCTTTTGATCACGCTGCTGCCGGACAGTAAGTTTCACACTCTCGCTCTGTTCCTGGCGTGACGTCCCGCACCGATTAACGCAACCGGGTGCGCGAAAGGAAATCAACCCGGCGGACTTCAGTGCGATAGCGAATCTATAACCATGCTAACAAGATATTCCTATCCAGTGATGGCGTTCGCTGTACACCTTCTGGCGCCTTGATCGCGAAACCATGCACGCGGCAGGAGGTAGAATTCTACGAATCCAGCGCGCTCCACCCGGCATTCCGCGAGTTCATGCCCCTCTACGTCGGATCCCTCTCATCTTCCGAGCAGCAGCAACCGCTGGCGATTGCTGCCGCCCGAGAATCTGGCGTCCTTCCCCTCCCCGACTCCGGCGACGTAACGACCGATTCCTCCCGTCCTAGCCAACCACCATCCCACACAACCCCCGCCCATGAAGACGGCGCTGCCCTCGCCAAGGAGGAAGCAGCATGGGTACCCTCTGGAGGCAAGGAAATTGATACTGGCTTATCCATCGTGCTGGAGAACATCGCCTGTGGGTTCCGTCGGCCGAATGTCCTGGATGTCAAGCTCGGCGCGCGTTTATGGGCCGACGATGCGCCGCTCGCGAAGCGGGAAAAGCTTGATGCGGTCTCTAAGGAAACTACCAGCTCTAGCCTTGGATATCGCATCGCGGGCATGAAAGTCTGGACTGGCCACAATGGGGAGACCGATGAGGGCGACCGGACAAATCCGTATGCTACGAAATACGAGGGTGCAGAGGGCGAAAAGGGCGAAGTCATCGAGAAGGATGGATATCGGCGATATGACAAGTGGTATGGCCGCTCTTTCAATAAGGATAATGTCAAGCAAGGCTTTGAAACTTTCCTGGCTGGCGCAAAGGCGGGCAATATAGACCGATCAAAGATGGTCGCCCAGCGCTTGGCGGAAGAATTGAAAAATTTGCAGCGGGTTCTGGAATCTGAAGAAAGCCGGATGTACTCTGCGAGCGTGCTGGTGGTCTACGAAGGAGATATCGAAGCGATGGAGCACGCAATTGAAGAGGAACAGAAAGCCCCAGCACCCCGTTCTCGGGAAGAAGAAGAAGAAGAAGAAGAAGAAGAGGAAGATGATGAGGAATTTGAACTTCCCGAAGAAGCCTTGGAGCTGGTCAATGTCCAGCTTGGTGATGGGATGCCTCAACAAGCTATCAATATCAACATTGATCCCGAAACTATGCAAATTCCCGATGAGGACGATGACGAGGAGGACGAAATTCCTAAAGTCCACGCCCTCCGTCTGATTGACTTTGCACATGCCAGTTGGACCCCTGGGCAGGGCCCAGATGAGAATCTGCTCAAGGGTGTGCGCAGCCTCGTCAAGGTCTTTGAGGAACTCGCAGAGTGAAATGGAGTATAGAATCGCATGTGCCCACAGTTGCTGGCGGCCGTTGGGTGCGCTACTACCTTGCGGTTTTTGTTTTGTTTTGTTTCAATTAGCTACATACATATGTAGATCATATCTTCAATTATCACTGAGCCAATTTATTACATTCATTATTCCTTTAGTATTTAAGTGCCAGAGCCGCGATATAAAAGTGCTGACATAATCCCGCCGAGACTTCGACATCGATCTTCAACATCGCGGAATCGCAGCTGCGGAAACCCTCAAGCCAAAATGTTCCCCACACGCGCCCTTTTTGGCCGGTCAGTCTGGAAAGGTGAGTCTTGTCCGATCTGGAAGATCTCTATTTCAGGATAAGTTCCTAAAAGACCACACGTTAACACTTATAACAGGCCCAAACATCGTCCCGTAAGTGACATCCAATCCATGCCGAACAGAAACCAAACCCGCCCTACCTTCGAACCTAGAAATCTTCTCATGATGGGAATATCTCACACTGGAACTAAAAGCTGACTGGATGATCCAAAATAGTCTCATTCTCCCACGCACTTTCCCTCCTCCCCCCAACACCCCCCCGATCCGCACCACGAAACGCGCAGCAACCATCCTGCCGAACTTCGTCGGCCTGCGCTTTGCTGTGCACAATGGCAAGACATACGTCGAGATCACGGTGACAGAGGAGATGGTCGGACGGAAGCTTGGAGAATATGTTGCGTATGTATACATCCTTCTACGCCAGTTCGTCATGAGCGATGAGCAGGTTCGGAGTGTGATGTGATAAGTTGCTAACATTTTATTTGCTCTATAGGACCCGCAAGCGCTTCACATACAAGCAGTCTAAGAACAAATAAACGATTCGCATGATCGCCTGTTGCAGATATCTCTTTGCGCTAGGAGAACTGCGTTGCATTTCTTTATTTTGCCACACTATGTACAGATATATCGTTGGATTCTATGTGACATTAGCTGCTTTTGGGTCGGAGTTCAATATACATTCTTTTTTTTCCTAGATGCAAACTGCAAATCGCAAAGTGCAATGCAATTCGTATACAATACCCAAATATAGAACCTGCATATAAAGACAAATATATCAATGCCCTATTGATCACTGGTCCTAGTTCAAAATGCTGTGTTCTTGCGGATTTTAATGCACATTTCCAAGCTAGCACCACATGGGAAATGTTTTATATCATTTCATAACTAGTTTCTGTAGCATTGCATACATGCATTCTAGAAACAAAAATCACAGTTAAAAAAAAGAGAAAACGCCATCCATTGGATCCTCCCAGCCACCAGCCCAGACTAACAATGCAGTCATGATCCCAGGTCACTCAAGACCATTTGCACACCTAAACGCCATAAGCCCGAAAAACGCAAAAGACAAATGATGGGAAAGAGTGCAAATAAAAACCCGGCACAAACAAGAAAGTTCCCGAAGAGCAGTATCCATCACCATACTACCTGTAGAACTCGCCTCGCTTCACGCTAACCCCATATTCTGAAACAGCCATGCCGAGGTCCTCCATGGTCAACACCGTGCGTCCCTGACCAGAGCCACCGGAACCACCACCTCCAAATCCAGGCCGCTGGATACCAAGATGGGTGCCGGCTTTGTTACCCTTGCTGCCATCACCGCCAGGAGCTGGGGCACCGCCTGCGCCGGCTGGAGCGCCGAGTCCAGCCGCAGCTGCTAGACTGCCGATGGGGTTGTTTGCGGAGGAGCTGTTTGAGGCGCGGATGCGGGCAAATTGGTACGAATCCGCTGCAATGTCTGAGACGAACTTTTGCGCGGCGAGCGCTAGGAGGCGCGCCAGGTGAGGTGGGGTTTGGCCGGGGCCTGTGCCTGGTGGTGGGAGACCGGCGAGGGTGAGGTAGTGGGCGGTTACTGCGTCGGGAATCTGGAGATCGAGGGTTAGTTTTATTGCTTTTCCTTGGTTGTCCGATGGATCTTCTGTCTTGTGTCGTGGGTCTTGCTTTCGCATGCGAAATCTTGGGGTAGATCGATGGTGGCGGGGACGCCATTGTCCACCGTGTGACCAGGCGATCAGGCAAAGCTCAGAGAGGTTACAGTGTTGTTTCAGAGATGACTTACAATTGGTGCATAGTCGTCCATCTTGCCGAGGAACTCGCGCAAGCTTGTTTCCTTCTTAGAGGGTTCTGGCGCGGGGGCCATGGGATCTTGGCCAGGCGCCGCGTTGGCGTTCGCATTCGCTCCGGTCTGGTTCTCGGTCTTCATCTCGACGTCTTTTTCGATGGAAGCATCAAGATCAGGCTCAGTTTTGATGTTATCTTCAGATTCGGACGGAGGGGGATGCTCTTGTGATCCGTTCTGAGGTATGGGTTGGGGAGGTTGCGATGTTTGAGAGTCGGCCATGTTGGGCAAATATCGGCGGAAAACCCCTGCAAGTATCCTTCAATTGAGACTGGGCTGCAGACTTCCAAGTACAAGACCAATCAATGGCTACGGCGGTTATATGTTCGTTTATAGGGAGATTCAAAGTCACACGGGTAGTGCACGGGCCATTTGGGTGGATCTACTCGCTACTTAACGCATGTAGTAACTATATTGGAATTGTACTTGAATCTATCTACAGCTATAAAAGTGTGGTTCTTTTCTTCATTATCATTCATTTTGACTCTATCACTATGTACTCATACACTTGGAATGCAATAAAAGCAATCGCCTAATCCGGCGCAATGTCGCAATCCCATAGTAAAACAAATGTGGTTCCCGAAGGAACAAATATCACAATCCAGTCCTAGACTCCGAAACGAAATTGCAAATCCCAAGTTCTCATGACGAATCTTGTGGATGAAAAGCTAAATCAACAAGATAAATGGTTGGATGACAATCCTCTACTGTCCCAACTGCATATGAGGATCGATGTGGTCAGGAGTTGGCTGAGCATGCTGCTGAGGATACTGACTTCCGTGTACCTCCTGGCTCAGCGTCTGCATGAGGTTCTGTTCCGCAGTTTGATCAAACACGGATTGGCTGTTGGCATCCGGTGGAAGGCTAGGCGAGGCGGACATATCATGGCCTGACACGGGTGCCCCATGAGCTCCAGCAAGTGCCATCATACCCTTGATTCCTTCCACGTGAGCCTTGTCTTCTTCGCCCTGCTTCTTCTGTCTTTCACGGGCTTCCCGCTTGGCTGCCTGGGCAGGAGCGCGGGTTTTCAATTCGCCAGTGACGAACTTCAGGTAGTATGGTACCTCAATTCCACTCTTCAAGAAGAAGAGCTTCAAGTTACGAGCCTTGTCCTTCAGCTGCACCTGGTTGCGATCTTTGAGTGCTTCGCTGATCGTTCCACCAGGTCCAAACATAGCAAGAATCTGACTCCAGTGGGGACCCTTGACGCGGTCCAGGCCGGCCATCAACGCATTCTCTTCTTCAGTGGTCCAGGGTCGACGTTGGCTGGGAAGACCAGATTTGCGGCTAGTCGGGGAAGACTTGGCGGAAGCGGCCATCCGGGCGCGTTCGTAGAGGACCTGAGTGGGCTGTGACTGAGAGTAATGGGGAATCCCCGGCATGTATCCATGGTTGGAGGACATGCCATTCGCCCTGGCTTGCATGGCTTGTGCTGCATTGGGGTTGTATTGCTGGAAGGTGGCCTGCAACGGGCTCTGCTGGAAAGTCAAGGGAGAGGCCTGCTGTGTTTGATAACCTCCCGGGGGGGTGGGGCTATGATGATATTGTTGGTGAGCTGGCTGCGGTTGTTGTGCAGCAGTGTAGCCATGAAGATACTGGTTCTCGGGTTGGCTCGTCTGCTGCTGCGGCTGCTGTTGTTGCTGCTGTTGTGGTGGCGGCTGCTGTTGTTGTGGTGGTGGCGGCTGCTGTTGCTGCTGGTGTTGGGGTTGCTGCGGCAGAGGTGACGGGCTAGCCTGAGACTGGGTCTGTTGAGGCTGTTGTTGATGCTGTTGTTGCGACTGCAGCTGAGAGCGTCGGAGGCCATGTCCCTGGAGGGCAATCTGCGCAGCTCGGGCAGCACGCGCGACAAGGTCGCCATGCATGTTTCGGTCCACCGGGACTTCAACTTGTTGGTTGAGTGAGAATTGACCCTGGTGGGTGGTGTTGGGTGACTCGTGAGCATCGCCATTTGAACTTGATGGCTGACGTCCCTTGACAGCTTTCTTTCCCTAGATGATGTTAGCACAAGCACAACATTTCAGAAATCATGAAGGCGACAAACGAACCTGTTGGGTATTGATGGCGTCAAAGTTCTTGGAAATGTAGGAGCTAAGATCTCGGAGGAAATCTTCCCAGTGGTACTTATCTGGCAGGGCATTCAGCGCTTCCTCGTTGTTAATCTCATTGAGAAGGATGTCACGGCGAGAGGTGAGGCGGTTCACGAAATCCGTCTCAGATGGGGCCAGCTGTCGGGTACCAGGACGTCTCGCCAGCAACCGCTGTTCCATGTCGTCAGGGAATAGATTGTAGAGAAGCTGCGTACGGGTGAGAGACTTGTTATGCATGGCTGCGATGAAAGCCTGTGTCTTAAGTTCGAGGTACAAAGCACCTTGAACCTTCAGTAAACGACCACCCTCAGGGACAAACACGTCTAAGAAATGATCGTTGAGGTCCGCAAACCCAATTTCCTGAGATCCGAAGATACTCGACACAAAGGACGCCAGATTCGCTTTGCGAATGACATCAATTTGAGAAGGGTCTGTGATTTCAAGGTCCGTAGGCTGAAGGAATGAGTGCTTGACGGTGTAGACTCGCTTTGTGTGATCGAACAAGGAGCGCATGGTGGCATATGCTTGGCCATTTTCGGAGTCAGGTTCGGACACCATAGCAGTGAGGTCTTGGTAGGTGTTCTTGGAAAGGAACGACAAGATTTGCGTAGACTAGGAGGTAATGGCAAATGTTAGGAAACAGAGATCACGTTAATAGTGTCAATTCAACTCACGAGATTGTCCAGGATAGGGAGACTCTGAATCTTGAGGTGAGAGTTGGCCTTGAGGAAAGCAAAACCTCTGGCTCCCGGGAAATCGTTCGACGGCGGTAGTTCTTGAGGTCCCATTGCGACGGTTTGTTCCTGGCGCTCTGTGTGATCCATGATCTCGGAAATGATTGTGGCCACGTCGGGATTGAGATCAGAGGTACTGTCCTGAGTGGTCGCGACCCCGGTAGAGGTATCATGGGTCTCATGTGTGCCATGTTGAAGAGCTTGGTTTACATTATGATCGGTTTGCTCAACGGTGTCAATAACGCCTTCGCCGAGAGCCGAGGCCAATTCTTCTTCGATTTTATGACCAGGGCCATGCTGATCGGCCATCAGGATGACTTCGTCGGGCAGAGAAATATCGCCGTCGGGGCCATCGCCTGTACGGCGCTTTTTGGCAGCCGGAGGCGAGCCATGTTCCTCATCATCGAGGGAATGAGGCACTTTTTGGTCTATGATACAAATTTAATGGTGAGTATTGATTCCCAGGTTATATTGAGGTTCATTGGCGGTGAGGGTAATAGGTATGGGGGGTGGTCGAAGCTGGTGAACGGGACGATCGGATGAGGAGCCTGAAGAGAACACTTACCAATGTCACCTCCATCAGAGGGGAAGGGAGGAAAGTCAGATGTTTCCTGGCCATCGAATGATGGCCGCGCGCCTCGAGTCTCGACCATTTGGACGGAGCGCCTGCCTGGGGTCGGGGTATCAACTTCCGAGAGCAGAAATGAGGGCTTAGGGGTAGGGCGCATTTGTAGGGCTTGCGGAAGAGGATGGAGGAGCGAAAAGATGATTTTTCTGCCGGGCGGTGGGCTTTCAGAGGTGATGGGTGGAAGCGTGGGCATTAAAGAAAATGTGTGTGGAAACGCTAGGAAGACAGATAGGTGGGGAGAGGAAAAGAAAGATTTAGTGAAAGGTGAGTGGCTTAATTTAGTTATGTGCGTGTGTTTACGATTTCAACACCTAAGTACCTTTTTCGTGTGTTCACCATACACAAGGTACATCATTCATTCACATTCGCATTTTAGGTCTCTCGCACACCAGTGGAAAGGTACCACCATCAACTCATGTAGAATAGCTACTTGTCATCTTGTTCTACAAGTTATAAGCCTGGCATGAAACCTGTCTCTTATTAAATATTCTAGACCTACAGTTGAATCCGGGGAATTAATAGTCAGATCTACGGTGTTCTGCCAGATAATGAGAAGGCGGTAGGACGTAAGGACCAGTCCGCCTTCGGGAGAAATATCCATGGGGATTGAGATAGTTCTAGGAGAATCATACCATTACCGACCCATCAATTGTTTCATCGAGTACATAGAGAACTGGTATCTTATCTAGGGACCTCTTTTTCATCTCTGAGATCTTGACAGAGTTCTCACCCCGGTTCTGATCTGGACCGACGATCTCTGAGGCCAAACAAAGGTCAGATTTCAGTCTGGCAACTCTCCAGGGCTACTAGTAATCTTCTTAGCTTGGATTGATTTGAATTGATTTGTATGAGAGAAAACACTACATATGTAGATATCATCAAATTTTCTCTCTTTCTCACATTCAGAGAACCCTATGGCGCCTATATATATTGTAGGTCGGACGGGTACCTAGGGCAGGAGGCTAGTGCCGTTTTGAGACTAGCGTGTTCGGTATACCTTTTGGCGATTTGTTCACTGGCGATGTCTAGTTACATGGATGTGCGCTACTTGTAATCTCTTCAAGGAATTTCGTTTTGTAGACGGCATTCTATCATTTTATATACTATTATATTCAATTAATAGAGTATCACCTGGGCATCTATGTAGGCTGATGTATATAAAAGTCCCATCGACTCTTCCTCCACGCGCGTAATTTGTGCGCGTCATCAATCCTATTTCATCGGGGTATAAATCGCGTGCAACCTTGGGCCTACCAATCCTATGAATCAAATCGAGCTGTGATGAATATCCACACAAAAATCCAACGTAGGAAGATTGAGTCATGATACTTTCTGAATCTATAAATCGAATGAAGTTATCCTGCTGGATAATATATATCCTGTTTGACTTGTGAGATTATTGAGTCTTAGCGATATCTTTTGGGTAATCTTAGCTCGTAGGAGCTCCTCAAATAACGTTTTTGACCACTTCTTAGTTTTTTTCTATTACATACTCCGAGATTAATTTCTAGGCATGCTTAATGTCGTCAAGATTCAACTATTCCCTACCATCCGAAGAACCCGAAAGCTTACAGTGCCTTCAGTTTTGATATTCACGAATAGAAAGCCGGTATGTCTACTTGCAGTAGTACCGATCCCCGAAAGCGGATATTTCACCGTCTGGTTCCCTGGTATGGTATCCTGGCAGCCCTAACACTACCGTACCACTAGAGGTCTGGACCATGGAGGTCCAAGTTTCTTTACTACAAAGAGGTTGCCCCCGTAGTTTGTAAAGAAAGTCAATCAATCCAGTCAAGTATTGCTGTTCTTATATGCCTGGAAGACCATCTTGATGTACGGCCTATTCGTCGCTCTCCTGGCCCTGCATGGCTTGGTGGTTTCAGCTCAAGACTCCCACTCCATCGAGAAAGTATGGGGAGTCTTTGCATTTACTGTCCACGGAGACAGCAAGCCCAGTGCGCTCACCAGCTCTCAGACCTTGACCGACTATGGAGCCAACGAACTCGCCGCGGCAGCATCGGATTTCCGTTCTCGTTATGTATCTGGACACTCTAATACTCAAATCCAGAACATATCCCCAATAATTTTGGACCCAAACGATGTGGATGTGCTCTCGACAACAGACCAAAACATTGTTGGCTCCGCCCAAGCATTCATGCAGGGTCTATACCCACCACTCGGCTCAATGGACATACCGAGTAGCCAAATTGCGAACGGATCGTTTGCACAGGCGCCATTGAACGGATACCAATATCCTCGGATTGTCACAGTCGGCGAGGCAGATCCCCAGTCTATTTTCATAGAAGGTCACGCAATGTGTGACATGTATGATGCCGCCGAGGGCGAATACTGTGGCAGCGACGAAGTCCAAGATATCACACGAGATACAGAAGCCTTTTATAGGAAACTGTGGAAACTGGCATTGTCTGGAGTCTACGATGAATCGTCCGCAACTTACACGAATGCCGTCACAATCTCGGAATATTTGGATTATGAAGTTGTGCATAATGACAGCTTGTTGGAAAGTCTGAATCAAGCCGACATCCTTCGTGCCCGCTCGCTAGCGGACCAGTACGTATGGAGAACAAACAGCCAACAATCATCTTCCAGCGGTTCTGTGATCGGAGTAGCCAGTCCGATTGCGGGACAGACATTGGCATCGAGCATTCTAGAAGCCTTCGATCTGAACATCCAGGAAAGTGGCACCCGGCAGAAGATGACCCTGTTGTTCGGTGGTGATGAGCCAGCTGTTGCCCTGTCGTCTCTGGTGGGACTCGCAAACCAGCATCAACCCAACTTCTTCTCCCGCTTGGTACGAGGTGGCTCGTTTGTTTTCGAGCTGTACAGCTTCGAGGATAGCAGCAACTTGTATCCATCCTACCCTGGAATCGACAATTTGTATGTGAGATTCTTGCTTCACAATGGGACCGACAACACCACCGAATTCGAATCGTATTCCCTCTTTGGACACAGTCCCAGTCGTGCATCAATCCCATATACTGAGTTCCAATCCGAGCTGGAGACATTTGCCGTGGCTTCAACCCAAGAATGGTGCCTCCGATGTAACGCTCAAACTGTGTTCTGCAATGGAGTGTTAGACCCGAGTGTATCCCAGCCAAAGAAGAACAAAGGTATGGCTCCCGCTGTAGCCGGTGTCATTGGGGCTGTTATCACGCTCGCTGTCGTTGGACTCGCAGCAGTCATTGTACTCCTCATGTATCGTGCTCGCAAGGGCAACAACCCCAAGAAAGGAAGCTTGGGAGGGTTCAAAGGCCCTGGTAAACATGCCAGTGATGCCGATGTGTCGTTCAGTGAACCCATATGGAGAAACTCCAAGACCGACAATACGCAATCGTCTAGTGGTGTCGACGCTGGAGTTGGAGTTGCTGTACAGGGCCATGAACGCACCGGAAGCTGGGAGATGGGGCAGGGGAAAAAGGAGATTGAGAATAATCAGCCCGATGGCATGGAAGCGAGGTCGCCTTTTGAGGATCATGAAGAGGATTGGGTTGTACACAGTGGCCTTCAGCCTGTGAAAATCAGGGAGAGTGTATAGATCAGGTGTATTATGTCGTCGCCAAGAATCGTATTATGTCGTCGTCGTATATTTCCAAGAAACAAAACCTCTTTCGTTTTCTCGGACTTGTTATCTTCTCACTCTGCCTTCCTCAAGCATCCTTCCTGTTTAGGGCTACTGGCCAATATCACGCGTGCTGAATTGTAACAGACGCGTCGACTATAAACCGCGTGACCCAAATCTCTGAATAGCCTCGAGCCCTCGTTCCTTCTCCATTGATCCTGTACCTTCCACCCGAATTACCTTGTCGACTCATTTTTATCGAATTTCTTCGTTTCTTTTGCTCTTGACAGGTAAATATTTCGCCCCCATAAACAAAATGAGGTATAACCTGCCAACACTATTGGCCTTGTGCCAGGACACAGGTGTGCACTGCAAGTGGACCAGCGAAGCAAGACACTGTGAGTTTCCCTTTGTGATGATGCTTTTGATCAATGGTCTTCCCCAAAGAGACAAAGATTCAATTGGGTTGCTGGTGTGAACTGGGGCCCAGTACATCAAGCAGAGCTGTCATGGGTCTCAGGGCCAACGACTGTGCATAGCCCAATGAAAGGAATCTTGCTGACCATCGACATCCATGAATAGGCAGACGAGCGCGTCCTGATCGAAGCAAGAAGCCTATCCTTTCAGAAAACCCAAGAAATCGGCCGACTAGAGAGTCAGTCAGGTCATCGCGACCGAGCAAAAATCCAGCATCGAAAGCCTCCAAGAATCGCCCGACTCGTACCAGCAAAAAGCCCTTTGAGCCTGTGTTCTCCACGAATGACGCAGGCTTTGCCCAATTTCTGAAAAAGCACACTTCCCCGAAACACCAGCGAGTCACGGCTGGGGGAAGAATCGTTCCAATGGAGCCACCAAGACCACCCCGTCTTGGTGGCCCATCACCTGCGCCAATGGCTGTAATGAATGACGACGAATCCATTGTTGAATATGTCTTTGTTGAAGGTCAACTTGTGACTGGTGGCCCCAACAGAGCCACACAAGAGAACTTGATGACCATCCGTTCTTCCGCAGAGTCCGATAATAACTTGCATGAGCAGTTGCCGTCGCCTTTGCTGGCAAGGACACCCCAGTTTGCAGTTCCTGTCAATCCACGTGATTCAACTGTTTCCCAGATAATTGGATCAAACACTCCATATTCTGAATGGATTGAGCAACAGCCCTCAGGCGAAGTCGACCCGGAGTTCGTTCGCCAAACCTATACTCCAAATGCAGCGCTGGGCTATGAGCCCACTAGTCAGGCTGAGGAGCGCCGGGCACGATGGGTTTCGATCGAGAGTCTGATTAGCCATGATGATGCTGCAATTGCGCAGATGATGTCGTTCATGTTCCCGTTTGATATGTTCCCGGGTTGCGATTTTTATGTTCGATACGTAAGAGTGTCGTGGATGTGCGGCCTTGATGCAATGATTGAGGCAAAGTCACGACTGACTAGCAAACTCCGGAACCATGGAAGATATCTGGAGGAGGTCAACGAAGCTATCGCATTAGACCCACAGATTTCACCTGGCGATGCTTGTTATAATTTGCGTGTCTACAACATCAACGAACGGGCCAGAGTGCTCAACGCTCTTGATGAATATGAACAGCTCATGGGCTATGCAGACCCAGCTGGCATGGACAATCCCAATGATCCAGAAGGTATTACTGTCAACGCAGCCCATCAGCATCCCACCCATATTCAAGGGCAACCAGGAAGAACGATCGATGGTGGTTCATATGACAACACGTCGACTGATGGTACCAATGAGGTTGAGCGTGTCAACATCAATCGTGGGGTCGATATTATTGACCCCAACACTGGCCATCCCATCCAATTCCAGAGGCAACAATTAACAGCAACAAACAACAACTGCAATGGAACAGGCCGCACAAACGGGAACAACTCAGAGTTTGATGACATGCAGGTTGATGGAAGCTCAGAGTTGTTGATTCGTGATCATGGAAATGAAAATCGCAGCAGAAATAGAAGCAACTCACTCATCGATCGGATCCAGGTTGATAGAAGATCAGAGTTGTTTCATGATGCGAATGGAACAAGCGGCAATGTGCCTACAGGAAGCAATGATCCGCCTTTTGACGCCAACACCCGATTGGGCATTGACTTGCCTCCGGAAATGGGTTCTGGGATGGAACACGATGCAATCATATCACGGCTCCCCCAGGAGACATGGACAGAACGTCGTCCGAGAAACGGACGTCGTATCAGCTACACCTTGCCTCGGAACTTCGGCCGAAACATTCAGAATTTTAGATCGGCGTTGCATTCCATTACTGAAATCGACCATGATGAGCACGCCATCGAACTAACTAGCACAGCTGAAAACGATGGGAGTCACGCACCAAACCTCGCATTTAGCGTGTAAGTTCTTTGCCCCGGGCTAGCACTTGAAGAGTACTAACTCCTAGTGCCACAGCAACGAAGATGAAGTGATCCATGGTGCAACTCAGAATGGGCTTCGGTTTATTCAGAATGAGCCCCGCGGCGCATCAGTTTCGGGCGGTTCAGATGACGAGCAACAGACGATCAGAGATTCTAGCACCGGACCTGGACTGAATGAAGAGATGCTCTCAGCCATTTCCTTTGGTTTGCAGCGCAGAAGTCCTGAGCTGTTGGATTACCAGGCGTCTCTCATTCCACAGGAACTTTTCGATATGTTTGTCGTGGACGTGGAGGGTGGTCAGGAAGTGGAAGGATCCAGTGAACGGAGAGGACGCTCAGCCGAACAATCAGAGGATGGCATGAACCACAGGTAAGTCCCATCCAAACTCACTTGCTTGTGCGAAGGGCCGGGGTTGACACATAGTAGCCGCAGTGGGAGCTTTACCCTGACAATGAACAGCTTCGGAGCGGATTACCCAGACGACATGTCGGATACACCCCTGTTGTCTCGGAATAGCCCATACGGCAGGTATAGCCCATTGTCCCGGAATAGCCCAAGCAGGGTGATCTCGAGGTCGAGTGTCCGCCGTAGGCACCATGTACCTGTAGGTGGTCTCAGCAGCGTTGGGTCTCGTATGATCACATCGAGTCTGAATGCCCGCCGAAGGCACGACGCACGTGAAAATGTCCGAAACGCCCGTCGCTCGCTCACGAATTCATCGAGATTGATTGATGACTTGAGAGACGAAGTACCTGCAACAACTGTTCTCGGTTTCGACGCGCCAGACAGTCAGCAAACCACCAATTACTTCCCTGTCTACTCCTCGCAGTTGATTAATGCCAGTGTCAGACATACTGCGCCCGCTATTGTGAACACCAGCAGAATCAATGCGCATGCTCACCACTGATGCTTTGCAACCATGGCGTTGGGCATTGGGGATTTGACCCCAGGCCTATGTATGTGTTCCCGAAGTTCCCGAAATGTTTCAGATGTCGAAAGCAGGAAAGGCAGAGAAAAGCATAAAAAAAAAGTTGCAAAACATGAACAACATGGGCCAAATTCGAGTCAAGGGAGGAAACGATATTGAGGGGATTGAAACATGAATCTGTACGATATTATTATGTATTGATATTCTTCCAGTGGAATGAAGTGTATGGTTATCACGTGCTGTGCATTGTATGTATGTTGTACCTAGATGTAGTTATTTATAACTACTCGGGATATCGCCACCCAGTTCCTTAATTCCTTAATTCCGTATTTCCTTGAGTTACATTTGGGAAATCCTGTTGAGTACGGTAAAGTCAGATTGAGATGGTTTCTTTCTAACTGATCTTTCTGAGCACTTCTATAACCCTTCCTCAGCTCTTCTCAACACTTCTGATGTAGATGGACGTTGTACACTTTGCCACCGGTGGAATTGCCCTGCCTGCCCAGATTTTGGATGACTAATGCCTTGGCCTCCGCGTCCACGGGTCCTTCTCCACTCCAAATACTCCTTGCCTCCCTCTTTTCCCACTGGATTCTCAATTCTTGATCTTCGTTCTTTACTTGTTCTGACATGTTGTCTTATCCATGAGCCCAGTTATTGTGGCTTTCGTCGTTTCGGTTCTTTGGGTGGACACCCCCCGTTGTACCGCTTCTTACTAACAATTGCGCCCCCGCGCGATTATATCCCCAGCCGGTACTTGGCATCTTAAACATTACCGCCCTTTCACCCGCCTCACACCTTGCTTTTGCACCCTTCGGATCATCTTTTTGACAGGTCCTAGGTGATTGTCATCTTGGTCTCGATTTTGATTACGGCGACCCACCCAATATGACGCAGCTCTTCGCCTCCAGTCCGTCGGCGGTGACAAATAATGAGAAGCGCGGGAATTTCCCCGCTCTCTCCCTTCCCACGCGAAAACACTCCAACGAGTCTAGCCACTTGCCTACGAGAATAAAGAACTTTTTCCGTATCAACAGTTCAAGCAGCCAATCCCCCAGTCCCAACACCTCTGGAAGTACCGAACGCGAACGGGATAGCCATGGGGCCGCCAAGAACGAGAAATCTGCTTCCCGGCAGTCTCGATTCCTGCCAGGCATAGGCCGCAATCGATCAACAACCGTTGCTAGTGAAGGCAACCCACTCGACGATGCGATGTCACCTACCGCATCCGCCAACCCATACTTTGCCCATCAGGGGCAACCAGCATTGCGACACCGCAATGATGGCTCAGTACCCTCTTCTCCTCCTGATACCCCTGAGCTGCAAGTCACGGGGGTCTCAGCAGTAGAACAGGCGACCACTGCAAACAAAGAGGAATTGGCGCGCAAGTTACGACGTGTGGCTTCTGCCCCGAATGCCCAAGGCCTATTTACAAGTGGTCAGGGTGACCGTCCTCAGTCAGCGGAACTAGGCAAGGAGCCCCTGGTGGAACAGCCAGGCGGGTCAATGGGCCTGGCAGATCTAGGCAGTGACGAGTCCAATCTGGCGATACCTTCTTCACTCAGCTCAGATTTCGGCAGTAACGCTTCTTTCCGCCGCACCTATAGTTCGAACTCCATCAAAGTTCGGAATGTGGAGGTTGGTCCCGCTAGCTTTGACAAGATCAAGCTGATCGGCAAGGGTGATGTTGGCAAAGTTTACCTGGTGCGCGAGAAGAAATCTAGTCGTCTGTATGCCATGAAAGGTACGTTTTTCTTATATACCGGTGACTGTCCAATGGCCATATACTGACTTGCGGCTAGTTTTGAGCAAGAAGGAGATGATCAAACGGAACAAGATTAAACGAGCCTTGGCCGAACAAGAGATTTTGGCTACGAGCAACCACCCGTTCATTGTCACCCTCTACCACTCCTTCCAATCAGAGGATTATTTGTATCTCTGCATGGAGTACTGCAGTGGTGGCGAGTTCTTCAGGAGTGTGTTTACCTTTCTATCCGATCTTCAACGTCATCTTCTAGAATTTCTTGCTGACATGTGCATCTTTAGCCCTGCAAACCCGCCCTGGCAAGAGTATCTCCGAGGATGCAGCTCGCTTTTATGCCGCAGAGGTTATTGCTGCACTGGAATATCTTCATCTCATGGGTTTCATTTACCGTGACTTGAAACCAGAAAATATTCTTCTTCACCAGTCTGGTCATATCATGCTTTCTGATTTCGATCTGTCGAAGCAATCTGGGCCCGGGGGTGCCCCGACGATGATTCCCGCGCGCAGTGGAGGCAACTCCAGCACAGGTTTGCCTACGATTGATACCAAGTCGTGTATTGCCGATTTCCGAACAAATTCTTTTGTCGGGACGGAAGAGTATATTGCACCTGAGGTGATCAAGGGTTGCGGTCACACCAGCGCCGTTGATTGGTGGACCCTGGGCATTTTGATTTACGAAATGCTGTACGGAACTACTCCATTCAAGGGCAAGAACCGAAACGCGACGTTTGCCAGCATTCTGCGGGACGAGGTGAACTTCCCAGAGCACTCGGGTGTGCAGCAGACATCAAACCTGTGCAAGTCTCTGATCCGCAAACTGCTGATCAAGGATGAAACCAAGCGCCTAGGTGCCCGCGCTGGTGCCTCGGATGTCAAGACTCATCCCTTCTTCCGGCAGACGCAATGGGCGCTTATTCGTCACATGAAGCCGCCTATGATTCCCCACCAGGGTCGTGCCGGTACGGATACGGTGAACTTCCGCAACGTCAAAGAGAGCGCTAGTGTAGATATTGGCGGCACTGATTCTACCAGGATGAAAGGTGTCCCAATGGACTCGGGCCTCGCCACTCCGAACGGCGAACTTAATGATCCCTTCGAGGAGTTCAACAGTGTCACCCTTCACCACGAGGGGGATATGTAAAGCCTGGGTTCTTTTTTTTTTTTTTGTCACTTGTTTCTTTTATCCGATACACGAGGAAAACAGCCGTATGTGCGTCGGCTCGCTGACGACCATGATGCATTAATGACTGTATTTAGATGCTATTCTTCTTCCATTGCAATCCTCGCTGGGTGTATGGAGTGTTTCGGGACTTTTTTTTTCTTGGTGGATCTATTCAATCTTTCTTTTTTCTTTTTTTTCTTTTTGTCCCATTGTTATGCCTTATGCTCGTCGGTTGCTTTGCATATTGCATTTTCTTCATATCCTAAAGTCTTGGATCACTCTCGGTTGTGCCTCCACTTCAGGCACAACATAGCATCGACACCGAACCGTTCGTTGACATTGCCATAAGGTTTGTGTCAAGACCTCTGAACTGTTGTTCTTCTTTTCTTTGCACGTCTCCCTGAAAACTGTGTTATACATTTGCTCTTTCATCCTACTTCGCAGCGGACGGCGTTATGGATTCACTTTTTCGGGTTACGTCTTCCACGTGACATTTTGTATGGATCAACTGATTACTGCGTGCTTTTTTCAATTTCAAATTTACGTTTTCAGGATTACCTTTGCTGTGAAGCCATGTGTACGAAGCTCGAAGCGATTTCAGCATTTGGCTTTTGTTTCAATCTATTTCATGGTCTCCATGTCGTTTTTTAAATGTCCCACCGCAAGCAGATGCGCCTGTCATTTCGCACCCTGTAAATATGTAGCTAGTAGTTCATGGAAATAAGAGTGTTACAAAGCAGAGAAATGTTACCAATCAAAAGTGCATACATATTTACAAAGACAAGGCAATGTCAAAAGTAGATTATTGGCAGATAGAAACCAGGTCTCCATACAGTAGAGCACAGTATAGTCGAAATCCAGAGCAATAATATTGGAAGGAGAAAAAAAGGATCTATAAAAGGTGGATGTTTCGCTTGAACGATATAATATAATATAACAGTTCAAAGCGATCCCAATTTGCAAAATTATACAAACTACATAATGGGTATCTCAAAAGCTCAACTCCAAAAGAGCGAACGTCTTCAATGCATATGAGGATCCGCCGCACAAGCCTTCCGGCACTCCTCCAAAAGTTTCGCCTGTCTGGCAACGTGCGCAAGACGACCAATAACCTCCTTGTTACCATCATAGAAGGTAAAGACCGCATACGGAATGTTCACATCCTCACAGAATTCCCGAACAAACTGCTGCGTCTTGCGCAGATTGTGTCGCGGGATACGGGGATACAAATGATGAATAGCCTGGAACTGGAGACCGCCATGGAAAAAGTCCAACCAAGGCGGACAGTCAACGTCCATAGTAGTGCGGAGCATCTTCTGGGGGAAAGATTCCAGCGGGCCGAGATCAGCTGTGGACATAGCGTAGTGCGACAGGGTAATCTGCACATGCAACGGCGAAGTCACCATGTGCGAGATCAAAACGAAGACGACGCGGTTGAACCAGGTGGGAATGCTACACCAGACAACGCCGTATCCGAACCAAATCCAGAAGAAGACGTGGCCGGCGAACTCGAACCACCGGTGCCACCAGCCCGCGCCGTGTTTCGGTCCGCGTCCGACGATGATGTGCTCCCAGCTGAGGAAGTAGAGGTTGAAGCGGCCGAAGAGAAGGATGGGGTAGTACAAGTAGTGCTGGTATTTGACGGTGACCTTGGCCACTGCATCGTATTCCATGATACGGTCGTAGTAGGTGCTGCGGAGCGAGCTGAAGAAGCGGTGCGAGAGGGCGAAGAAGGGCATCAGTTCGATATCGGGATCGTGCTCGGGAGCGTTGGTTACGATGTGGTGCACGTTGTGGCTGCGCTTCCACCAGCCTAGGCTTAGGCCGCCCATGTAATCGGCAATGATCATGCCGATGGTGGTATCAATCTGATAGTTATGCGTGATACCCATGTGGCCGGCATCATGGGCGGAGAAGACAAGTTGGTGCCAGAAACAGCCGAGGAAGAAGGCAGATAGACAGAACCAAGAATGTTTGAGGAAGAAAACGAACAGCCCAAAGAAGAGGGCGTAGCGAGAGATCTCAATGGCATAGGCTTTGTAGTTGCAGTTGTATAGCCCTGCTGCGCGGATGCGCTCGTGCAACTCGCGGTATTTCTTTGTGATGTATTCTTGGTGTTCTGCGTCGAGAGGAGGATACTTGGATGCATCCAGCTCAATCTCCTCTTGAGTTCGAGCATCAATCACGTAGGCTCGTGGTTTGGTTTCTGTTGATGGAGGAATGGCACTGACTGCCGAGGAAATTGTTGATACTGATAGCCTGCGTCTTAGGCCCAATTTTTCGTCTTCGGCTTCGAAGATGGGAGATGGTGGTGCTGAAATCTCTTCGCTTGATAGCTCTGAGCTCACCAGGTCTTCTTCGTTGATCTCATTTTCGATCAATGGGCGGAATTTTCCACCTTGGATGGGAGGGAGGAAGTTGGTCCAGCGGCCCTCGATTCGGCCAATTCGGAATTTGCTCATGCGCTGACGGGCTTCCTGTGAATGGAGTCTTTGAGAAGGGCATTAGTATAATGCGCAAATGGAATTGAACAAGAATAGAGATAATTTGGGATACTCACGCATTGACTTCATCCGTGGCATCTTTGCCAATCATATGCTTGATGGCCATATCACCTCCGGGGTGATATTTGATCCAGGAATCCAGTTTGAGGACATGGCCGTCGACAATGATAATCAACTTGTCTTCAGCAAGCATGCCCTCAATCTCGCGTCTTGAGAAGACATTGTCCCTAGCCCTAGCTGGGGTGGACATTTTACTCATCTGGTATGATTAACCAAAGAATCCGATGAGATTTGACCGTTAGTTGTTTAGGTCAGAAGGTTGGACATGGAAGAAGGATATGGCCTTGAGATAATTATAATAGACAATTCCTCGGCAACATCTCTTTTTGCTTTTTTACTGGCATGATGAATCCATTAATCTATTAAGTTACCTAGACTTGCATAGCGCCGGAGCGCAAGACATCCCGTTCCTCTCGACCCAGGGGACAGAAACAAAGGGGGCAGTGTAAATTGGTCTGTCCAACCGAGATGTGGACACGGGAGAACTCCATGGGGAATGAAGAGGGGAGGTCAAGGTGGGTAAAGTGGTTCAATTGGATAAGGCAGTGTAACAGGGCTGTGAGCACTGTGGCGAAGATAAAATATGGGCCATACGCGTATCATGTTAACTATACCATACTTTGTATATCCCGTTTGATAAGTCGAGCTAAAACAAGCTTAAACCTTGGGTGCCCCTGTCGGAAATTGAAAGGTTAGATCTTTAGATCCCCTATCCCATGTCGAAAACTTTACTCCACTACATATGTAATGTTTCTAAATATTACATAGACTATCTAGCACTAAATAGAATCCACAGAAAACATTCTCTATTTCCCCTAAAAATGAATCCCATGTGTTTTCCCCCTGAAAAACTCAAAAGACCTTCCAATGTATTCAAAGGTGGCGATTCGTATTCGCAAAGAGATATAAATGTGGCTAACCTTTCTTGGCTAACCTTGGCTAAAAGTGGAAAGCCGCTAACCATTTTAGGAAAAAAACCTTGACACGTGTCCACTCCAAACCCTAGGAAAACATCACTTGGGCAACTTTATTATAATTCTGGTCAAGGGACCAGGTCCCATAACTTTAGAAATGAAACGTCTGTGAACTGTCGAGGCAAAAGATATCTTCCTTTTCTGCCCCTCTTTTACCGCTCGAGCCCCGCATCTGGGCGACTGGCTAATATCGCCAATTTCTTAGTTAAGGACACTTACGTATTCGGTTTCGTTCTTTCTCTACGTAAGGGTGAAGTCGCCACTTGGCCATTTGCATTATGTCTTTCTCCTTTCTGGGTCGTGTTGTCATGATCCACAATATGAATAACGGTCAAGGCCATTCCAGAGGGATATGATCTTAATGTGGAAAACGCAAAGCCAAGGCTCTCCTCCCCTACACTAGAGTTAATCCGCTGTTAGGGGCGGCAAATTCACACCATATTAGTTGAACTGGCATTTTAAAATGGCTCCTCGAGGCGACAACGTCACATCAGAAACTATACATAGAACTAGGCTTCCATTCAACAAAAGTAGAGGCGCAGGTGGCTTGTATGACTTGGACGCCGCGGTAACAGACCTCGGGAAGACATTTTCTGGGATGTGTTGCCTCCTACTCTAGACTCTTGGCGTTGGCCTTTTCAGGGGGAACTTGTCCTCAACGCGTCCATGGTGCTACATTATTGTACGGAGTACTCCGTACATGATAGGGGACGACCACCAGACATCCACCACGAGGCGACAAAGAATATCCACTTCTAAATCGGGATTTCTGGGTCGGGAATGAGACACAACAATATTTCTGAGTTCACACGGGTTTTCAAATTCACTCACGATAATCCTATTCGTGAAGGATCTGTAATTTTGGCAGTCAACCGTGCGACTCGAAGTCAAACTAGCCTATATCAACCAATTAGGGAAATGATCTGGAAAATATCAGTTGTAAACTCAAACCTGAGGCAGAAATATAAATGGCTAACTTGACCCACCCGAGCACTCCACTAGCCCCAGTCGATTGGAGAAGGCTTGCATCCTAGTCGACAATGGGTCGCTAGGGCCGCATTGCGAGCTTGGTCCCTCAAGCTTCTTCCGTCCAATTTGATTAGCCCGTTGGAATGTTCTGCCAATTAAAGGTCAACCCCTCTTTCTCCTATTGGATCATCGTTGATAGGTGGAAAACAAAATGAATCGCGGCGGACTCCCGTCTGCTTCATTCCTGATCCTGCAGCCAAGTACGGAGAAGTACGGAGTACGGAGTATGGACTCCGTATGTTGTATGTTGTAGTTCCAATGTGGATATCTACAACCAATGCAATCCCAGCTAGTGCCCACAATGTAACGGATTATCTTTTCTTCCAACAGTTTAGACAATATTAGGCCTCCAGAATATGTAATATGCACCACTATGATGCAACATGGTGATCATTGCTTGATGAAATAGAACAATCGTGTTTCAGGAACAAGCCAATCGTTCGATGGGCTTCTTAAATGCTTCTAGGTTACTGGTTACCATCAACCTCCAGCGGAGCTCCCCACCATTGGACGTCTGCTAGATATCCAATATAGATTTTGTAGGGAGTTCTTTTTCTCCCTTAATTGTCAAGATGGGGAAGGCAATAATAGGGGCGAATAGCGCACCACAACATTCACCGTTACAGTAGTTTGCGGTGGGCCTGTGGTATTTTCTCAAAAGGGGCCCTTTCCCCGAGGTAGAACGCGTGGAGAGGCTGCCGCGGCTGGGAGAGCAACTGTCTAATAATGGGGTGTGGTTGGCTCTTCACTAAGAAGGCAGCTAGATTTAGAATCCATATTGTAGGCTAAATGAGTGCTCCCGAGGTCTCTGTAGAGTACTCCATACGAATACGGAGTTGTTCAATGCAATTGATAGATACGCATGCTACCCTAAATTGTAGTAAGTACTAGACTCTGCCCACCATCAGAATGTATTTACTTCGTTCCTAGGATGACCTATGTACAACAGTCCCATAAAACAAATTTCTAATAGAACTCACATTTCTTTTAAAAATAGGATGTGGACTTGCTCCTAGCCCTCCCAGCTGCGTGATCTCAACCCTCGAATGGGGTTTCGCAGCACCAAGGAACTGAGACACCAGCGTCAGACAATTTTTTTTTCCGCCGGATATAAAAAGAAACACAGCTGAGGTATTCATAGTATACAATATGAGACAATCCTTTATGGTTTTAGATCATATTCATGGAATCAAACATTATGTATTCATAGCACATGCGTCTTTTATGATGCCTGTGTTATTGGGAAGTTTCAAATAGGCATCAGACGTGATTTTTAGGGAATTTTTTTGAAAATAAGCCCATACAGAGATGGCCATAACCTCGAACATGCAATAGTAACCTATTGACTGACGTTGAAATAAGTTTTAAGGCCATAAAACCCACCCCAGTAGATTTCGGATCTCAGCGGAAGCTTGATGAACGCGTCTCAGCGGAACCCCAGAAAACACGAAACACGACAACACAGCGTTCACCCGTCACAGCTTTCGCAGCTCAACACCCACAACATTCAAGAACACCGCAAAAATAATTCCGATCATCCACAATGTCCGCTTTCGCGCCCGAAGACCCAGACAACGATTACTCGTACGCCGAGGTCGACCCCGCAGAAACCTCCACCCCTCCAATCCCCCAATCAATGGGCGACGCAGATGCCTCGCACAGCCGGGGCCACTCGAATAACCCTCTCTTGGGGTCCGATAACCCTCTCGTCTCAGATCTGGAGCAGGAAGTGCTGGAAGAATATGCTCGATTGCTACGGAATGTCAACCAGGTACGTGGGAGAAGACCTTGTTAGCCTTGATCTTATCTTTCTGGGACAATCTCTTCACAGGGAAAGTATCCAAGCAATGTCCCATTGGAAACTATATGAGTTATAAATATTGGTTATACTGGTTACTGATCAATGCCTCGCGCGCAGCTATCCGATAAACTCGCCGACCTCGCCGGCTCCCCCGCCTCCATGCCCCTCGATGGTCTTCGTCTCCTTGAGCGCAAGACTGCGACTGTATGCACCCTGCTCAAGGCCAGTGTGTATAGCATTGTCTTGCAGCAGCAGATCTGGAATGAGAATGAAGAGCAACAGCAACAACAGCAGAATGAGGATCGGCATTTCCAGGACCACGAGTACCAGCATGGATATGAGGGGGAGGGAGACATGACGTTCCAATAAATGAGGAAGGCATGGAAATTGTGTATTGCGTTTGATGGTTCCTTTTTTTGTTTACTCGCGTATTATACCCGGGGTGTTCCAAGTTTTCGTTTTGGCGCGAATCAGATGGTGTTTATGCAAAAGAACCTTGTTGATATATGATTTTCCAGATATGCTGTGAATAGCTCCCAGAATACTGGAGAATTGATGACCCGTCATGTTTAACAACCAACTTATAGAAGTACATGCAAAAGACACAAGAAGAAGAGGAAGGAAAAGAGAAGCATTATATACACGCTGGGACAAAACAGCAAGTCAAGGCCATGAGGGGCCCTAAATCTTCCCTGCGTAGTACACCTTGCGCACATCGACAATCTTCCTGCCGAGTGCGTGGGCAACCTGCTCGGGGTTACGCTGGCTCATGAGCGCCTCGTAGGCGGCCTTGACCGTGTTCATCTGGTTCCTTGAGCGACCAACTCGGGCGGACAGATCGTGAATGCCGGCAGCGCGGCACATCTCGTAGATGAGGTATTGGACACGGAGTCCGAAGCCTATTATTGTTAGCAACAAGGAACGTGCCTGGTGATAAAAGTAGACATACCCGGTGGACGGTGCATCAGCTGCAACTCTGTGGCTCCCACCTTGCCCTTGACATCGCCATAGATGGTTCGGTTCTCGTAGCGGGGAATGGGCTGCATGTTTCGGATGGCACGGTATTGCGACTGGGTCTTTGCGTCGGAGGCTTCATCGGACTTGCCCTCACCGATACCCAGCAGACCATTTGCGTTACCGGCAACGGAAAGACGGTATGCACGGCGGACCTTTCCTAGTCGAGTCTGGTTGGTGACGCTGTGTGAAACAAGGGTCTTAATGCGGAAGCCCTTAACCTCGCTCTCCGTGTAGCCCGTAGCCAGGAGCAAGCTCTTCAGGGCATCTGTCATTTCCTCGGCCTCCGCTGACCGCTCCTTCTCGCCCTTCTCGGCGGCTGTCTTCCGCTCTTCCACACGGGGCTCATCGATGGTCTCCCCGGGCCCGAAG